CTCTGGGTCACCATGAACTCTCGCGCAGGCAACCCTGAGCATGCTGCCACCTACGGTTTCTCGCGTTCTATGCTGGCCGAGATCCCCAGCTTGAAGCTGCAGATGCTCGATCTTGACTCTCGCCGCGACTCAGTCGATGCCGTTGCCGAGACCTTCTTGCGACTGAGCATGAAGGAGCTGCGCACTGGAGGCAAGGATGGCGAGTTGCTCTGGACGCATGAGAACGAGATCTTCATGGAGCAGGGCCACAGGCTTGTGCCCAGAGTCATCCCCTGGAAGGAGGGCAACGACCGTGTCAACTGCCCCCGCAGACTTGTCTCCTCCGAGGTCAACACCCTCGAGAGCTGTGTCGAGGTTGTCTCTTCCCAGTCTGGCGACGGCTCCGCGGTCTACACTGCCAACATTGTTGAGGGCGAGATCCTTGACGCTATTGTCCCGGACCAGAGTGTCATCATGGTCAACTACAGCTCTGTGGAGGTGATCAACTTTGGACTCAAGTACGCCTCTCACGTCTGCATTGGCAAGGACGTTTCTACCGGCGAGCAGTCGCTGGCAATGACTAAGGCCAACTCTTCCTACGTCACGGTGCCCAACTCCTGCGTCTTCCCCCTTGGAGACCGGAACATCGAGCCCAAGACCCTGCTCAGCCTTGTCCTTCGCTACCTAGTCACCTTTTCTCTCGAGGAGGAGATGATGGGGCAGACTCTTCTGCTTCTCGAGCCCGACATTGTTCTTTTGGAGTGCATGAAGGAGGTCTTTGAGCCAAAGGGTGTCAATGTCATCTCTTGCACCACCACCCCGATCAAGGTCAGAACTCCTGGCGAGCGCTACATTCACCCCTACGCCAGCAACCGCGAGCTCAAGGCTCTCTTCCCTGCGGGCGGTGCATCCATCATCGACTTCCTCCCCGAGGGCAGCGAGCTCTCCGAGGCTATCCTCGACTGCCTCCCAGAGAACTGCGAGTATCACTCCCGCTTCTCCCTACTTACGTCCGAGCACGTCGTCGCCCTCGGAGACTCCATGGACATTGAGCCTATCTGGGAGACCGCCATCGAGAAGGCGTTGGAGAGTATGACCGGCATGAAGGGCCAAATGGGCATTCCCAACATTGACTCCGTCTCTGTTCCCGCCCTCCTGGACCAGTCCAGCAGCGGCAAGCCCTTCCAGGTCCTCGACTGGCGCGCCGACCGCACCGTCCAGCACATCGCCAAGCCGCTTCTGGGAACCCAGCTCCTCCGCCCCTACAAGACTTACGTCCTCGTCGGCCTCACCCGCGACATGGGCCAGAGTCTCTGCAACCTCTTCTACGAGCACGGCGCGCGCCACTTGGTTCTCGCCAGCCGCAACCCCAACATGAACCCGCAGTGGATCGACGACCTCGCCGCCAAGGGCTGTGAGGTGCGCATCGAGAGGCTCGATGTCACCAGCATCGAGAGCGTCAGGGCCTTCAAGGAGAGGCTTGCCGCCGAGATGCCTCCCGTCGCCGGTGTCATCAACGGTGCGATGGTCTTAGACGACCGCGTCTTTGCGCAGATGGACGAGAACACGTGGCAGAGGGTTATGCGCCCCAAGACGGTGGGCTCCAGCAACCTCGACGAGATTTTCTGCGACTCCGACATGGAGTTCTTCATCATGACTTCTTCCTTCGCTGCCCCTGGTGGCCACGGAGGACAATCAAACTACGCCGCTGCTAATATGGTGAGTACCCCTTTCCCCTCCCTGTCTCCTTCAACACCGCTAATATCCAGCAGTACATGAACGGCCTCGCCGCCAATCGCCGCCTCCGCGGCCTGCCCGGCTCCGTCCTCAACATCGGCGTCATCTACGGCCTCGGCCTGCTCCACCGCGAGCGCAACGACATTTACGCCTTCCTCGAGAAGGACGGGTACCCGCCCATCTCGGAGCGTGACATCCACCACATGTTCCTCGAGGCGATCGTCACAGGGCGCCCCGTCGACGGCCAGATCTACGACATTACCACCGGTCTCAGCCGCTACAGCACCGCGAACCCGGACCCGCTGCACTGGCACCGAGACCCGCGCTTCTCGCACTTCACCGTCGAGGACGACGCGGCGGCCGCAGAGGAGGGCGAGGGCAAGCAGAGTCTCAAGGAGACGCTGCGCGGCGTGGTGGACGGCGGGGTGGATGCCGTCGCGGAGGTGCTGACGGAGGGGTTTGCGCGGTATCTTGAGACTGTGCTGGGCCAGAGCGAGGGCAGCGTGAAGGGCGAGCATAGTGTGGGCGAGCTCGGCATGGACTCGCTTGTTGCTGTGGAGGTGAGGGGGTGGTTTTACAAGGTTGTCGAGAGGGATGTGTCGGTGATGAAGATTTTGGGGAGTGCGAGCGTGGCGAAGTTGTGCCACGAGGTGTCTGAGGGGTTTGTCAGTGAGAGGACGAAGGCTTGAGCAATGTCCTTTACTATATAAGAGATGGGATAGATTGCGGTGTTTGGATTGGACTTTTGGGCTTTTGGAAAAGCTTGGGAAGGGGGTTTGAATTTGGTGTTTTGGTCTTGGTTTGGCTGTCTTACAGATTGGTCCGGGGAAAATGGCGGTCATCTGTCTTTCAAGTTCTTGTTAGGTATGGGTTTGGTTCTTTGATTTGTTTGGGTTGATACCACGGTCACTACATATCATCTTTTGTTAGACACATTTCGAGAAACAATTTTCACAACTAGGATCTCATGAATGATGTGATGCTCATGCCTTGATGTGACGTTTTGGTTCATTGCGCCAGAGATGAGAATGGCATTAGTGTCCAATACCTTACTTAAGACATGTCCAGCAATCAGTGCCTATAGGGGGGTTTTAACAATGAAGATAGCTTCTAATAACTGGTCCCCTAGATGATTAATAAAATGTGAAAGACTTATCCTCCACGTTCGCTTGTTGTCGGAGGCCGGTGAGTCCACACTCCGACCCAACCAGACCCCCCATGACCCGTTCAATCGGCACGTGTACGACTTTTGGCCCGGCACGGGATGAGCCAGGCGCCGACACACAAGCGGCGCAGCCATCTCAGGCGGCCCCAGGACCGATGCGGTAAGCCCGTACGACGGAGCGGACGTCAACTTCCCCCGACCATCATCTTATTGTGGGGCCCTCCTCGAGGCCTGCATTCTTTGCCCCCTCTGCGAACGTCATGACTGGTCGATGGTCCGCTCTAATAAGCGATCTTGTCTTAGGTGCCGGGGAATGGAACGCAGCAGACCCGACGACAAGGAAATCGCGAAGATTGTTTCCGCAGCCACTTCGCAGCCTCCTTTTACATGATGTGGTGACAGTCAATCCGAAATCACGACCATAAAGTGCTTGTAGTGCTCATTTGTGAGCCAGCCTTTGATGTTCCTAAGTCTACCAGATTCAGGCCCTACAGCATCTCTTGTGTTCTTTTGAAGCGCTAAGAGCGAAGCATACTGAATAAGTCACCATGAGCAACGAACAGCAGGTAAGTGAAATCAGACAAAAGTCGCCTATCCCCAGCCTCCACGTTCAGTCTAACACTTTGCGTCTAGAAGGCTCCTGGCCCGCCGTATGTACCCACGGTAGCTCTTCTGGGCCTGACTCCAACCTCGACTGTCGACATCCCGATCTCAGCCGTCCTGATCGCATTCTTCCTATGCTCAGCAGCAGCAAACGTCACGATATTCAGGCGCAACCAAGCCCGCGCGCACAAGTTCATCCCGTCCATGGTTCTCTTCGGCTTCTCCATGGCGCGTACAGCAGCACTGGTCCTGCGAATCGTCTGGGCGGAGCGGTTGACGAACGCGAGCCTGGCCATTGCGGCCATGATCCTCGCCAGCGCCGGCACCGTGATCCTCTTCGTCATCAACCTCATTCTCGCCCAGCGCGTCCTGCGCTCTCTACATCCGCGATTCGGCTGGCACCAGGTTCCGAGCATTACCTTCATGTTTCTCTACGCCTGCGTTGTGGCCTGTCTGATCATGACCATCGTCCCGACGGTTCTTACGTTCTACACCCTCGACACCTCAGTTCGCCAAAAGGCGCGACAAATTCAACTCTTCTCCGGCACCTATCTCGCCCTACTAGCGTTTCTCCCGATTCCCATCGTTGGTCTCGCAGCGGCATACCCAAAGTCTGCGAAGCCGGAGCCTTTCGGAAGTGGCTCTCTTCGGACGAAAATCTTTTTGGTGCTAGGGACCGCCGCGCTGTTGACCCTGGGCGCTGGTTTTCGTATCGGCGTCAACTTCACTGCACCACGGCTTGCTTCAAACCCGGCGTGGTATCATCAGAAGGCATGCTACTACGTCTTCAACTACGTTCTCGAGATCATTGTCGTGTACGTGTACACGTTGTCTCGTTTCGATCGACGCTTTCATGTACCGGATGGAGCTAAGGGCCCAGGAGACTACGCTGCCGGCTTTGCGATGCAACACGCCGAGAGTCAAGGCACCAACGAGTTCACCGATTCTAATCTCAAACATGTCTAATCGTGATTTGTAATGCTGGTTCAAAGAACTTTGCTTTGTTAGGGTTAGGAGGCAGTCAACATGGTTCGTCAGATAACCTCTGATGACGTACGCCATTATCATTATCTGGCTGAGTCACTTGACAATAATCAACTATCAATATTCTCATGAAAACTTCCGCCGTTACTTGCGTTCAAAATCTTGAATCTCAAAACATACGCAGAGACGTCCCGAAACGGCTCCAGATCGTGATCTTTGCATCAGAGGCGCCGTTCAGCTGTGCCATATCCCTTCCAAAGCCAGTCCCATCTTCAGCCTCTGGATCATCATCAAACAACTCTGCCAGATTGAAACCTTTCATTTGCAGGTACAGCTTCAAACCTCGATATGCAGATGGGCTGATGAACGAAGAAGCATTCTGTTCAACGTTGAATCTCAAAACCCTTCCCAAATTCGCCCAAAGTCTCGAATTCTGTTTGGTTCATGCAGAGAGAGAAGGTTTGCGGAAGTTCCATCTCTTGGGCATGCGCAGCATTCTTCAAAGGAACTTCTATTATGTAAGAATACTAAACTACCACATGTATCGAAATGTGATAGCCCTGTCACCCTGGACAGACAGTTCCTCCGCTGTGTATCGGCTGTCTTCGCCTGCCGCCATCTGCCTGTCACGTTTCTTGTTGATGTTTATGTATGACAAGATGAGTATGAGGGCAGCAATGATACCGACAGAAATAAAGCCTAGTTCAAGTCCATGTCCAAGGATGTATCGAGGAGCATCTTTCTGGCGGTAGAAATTGGACGCCATGGCCTATTACTCGTCAGTCAACTCAAGTCCAGAAAAGGCTTTTGTGTTTTTCGAGAAATCTTACACCGCCCAAGTTACCAACACCGATCTGTAGAGCCATCCCAGCGCTGCGCTTGTAGCTCCCGGAAAGGTTGTTGGAGAGCCAACTGATGACTCCAGGGAAGGCAGGATAGATGGCGCACGCAGCCACGAAAACGCCGCCATAGACCACTTTGGGGTTTGAACTTGAGATACACCTATGAAGAAACAAGTGTTAGTCCGAAATTGGTGACGTAGTTGGCAGGGCCTTACATGGAGAATCCAACGATCATCATGCATAGGAATCCGACAATGAACGGGCTTCGCTTGCCCAAGCGGTCGGAAAGATAGGCGACGACTACTGCAAGAATCGCGGCCGTGATGTAGATCGGAACTGTCATAAGCTGGGCAGTGCTTGACGTATAGTTGAGGTTGCGGATAATCGTGGGCAGGAAGAGACTGATGCCGTAGAGAGGGCAGACAATCTGCCTTGTTAGTAGACAACCTTCCATGACCCGGGGTTTTACTTACTCCCCAATACACAAAGATGTTGATCCAGATTTGCCAGTCCGTGAAAGCATCCCACACGTATTTCCACTGGAACTCGTCGGCCTCAGCAACCTGAACGCGGTTGTCTGACTTTCCTTGAACCTGGCCCTGATACTTGAGGCGGTAAACAACGAATGCTCTTTCTTCCTCGGTCAAAAACTTGGCTGTTTCGGGGAAGTCGTGTAACGCCCAGAATGCAAACACTGCAACGATGACGGTGACTATGCCCTCGAGAATGAAGATCCATCGCCAGCCCTCCAGGCCACCGGTGCCATCCATCTTGGAAATGGCGAAGGCGAGCAGACCGCTGAAGGCACCAGCAATCGACGCAGCGGAGAAGAACATGGCTTGTCGGAGTTGGATCTCGTGGCGGCAGTACCACATTGTCAAGTAGTACTGAAAGGCAAGTCAGCATTCGATCTCAACCCGTCAAGCCGGTCCAAAACTTACAGCAACACCCGGGAACAAGCCAGCCTCAGTCACACCTAGGAAGATTCGAGCGACTAGCAGTCCATGGTAGTTCCTGACAATCCCCATAAGCGTCATCACTGTGCCCCAGGCAACCATGATGGTAGGAAGCCAGATGCTCGGTCGGAGTTTCTTGAGCAATAGGTTGCTCGGGACTTCGAATGCGGCGTATGTGAAGAAAAAGACTGTGAGACACCAATTGTACTGGTCAGATGTCATTCCGAGGTCTTCTTGCAGTCCTTCAATCTTTGCGTTGCCGATGTTCCCGCCTACGGCTGACGTCAATTAGGTCCTTGAATTTGGTGGTAATTTTGACTAACGGTCGAGGAAAGATAGGAGATATAGCAGCGCCAGCATGGGAATGAGGCGGATGTCCATCTGTATAGACTCACAGGTTAGTCATGTGAGTCTTCGTGGCGCAAGTGCTATTGTAATGACAGCACTTGCCTTTCTCAAGATCTTCTTCTCATCCAAATGCGCAAAAGACGCAAGGGTCGTTCCCTGCGCGGTCGCGATCGCATCGATGCGCCCAATCTCATCTTTTCTCGTCAAATGTTCTGTTTGGCCATTTTCCAGCTCTGACACATCGAGCTTTTCGGAGTTGTTGAGCATGCCAGCCATCTTTGCCAATCCAACGAAGGACGGCAGCAAAATGCAATCGAACTGCGATCCTGTTCCCAAGGCTTGGTGGAAGCGATGGCCGGGGATGGGTTGACGAGGAGCTGCTGAACAAGAGATGCCAAGGACAGAAAACGGTTTGTGCAAGGGTTCGTCGTCGAACACCCCAGGCCATCATGGTTGGCTCATCTACTAGATATAAACCTTCGGATCACTGTCCGCCGGTTCGGCCCAACCCACGGGCCACCAAACAGGTTGGCCATCGTGTGCATCGTCAGCGGCTGGGGTGAGCCCCATCCGCCGCCGGTTCGGCAGATCGAAACGGCCAATGAGTTTATCGGTCTCTCGAGATTCCGGGGTGATTATGGGTGTCAAGGCCGAGGTAGGAGGCTACCCCGCGTTTCTTGATCTTATTTGAAGTAAGCTTGGGGTGAACGCGCAGCGGAATGATGGCCGCTGCAACGCGTGACCCACGTGTTCTGGTCTGGTCAGTTGGAGATTGGTTGAAGGCTGGTCGGAAACGGCACAAGTATGTTGAGGGATCGGCAGAGCGGAGAAGTTGGCGTGGATTGTGGTCGTGATGTCACTTGGAGAATGCGGGGGAGGAGCCGGTATTCGGTCCGCACTACGACTAACATAGATCACGGGATCTAATTCCGGCTCGTCTCTGCACTGCAGAGAGACTAAACAGTCCGGCATCACATTTGGCCTCCGATGTTTTCCTGTGAACCAAAGAAAGCTCTCATATCTAGATAACATCCAACGTTTTGTCAGCAGTGAGAACGGTTACAGACCTTAACTCAATGTTCATAAATACCTCAGAGGTGATTTAGGCATATCTATTCCGTAAAGTATAGCCATTTATGTTTCCTGGCAGACGAGAAATCGTTGACGAACCTTGAAGCACATTGAATGATGTAGTTGCGAATTTGGCACAGCGTCTGCTCAATTGACAGTACCGTTCCAATTTTCCTACTGTCTTCCTGTATCCTTCTTCCCTTCTAACTTTTCCTTTCACAGTTCACCGCCTGCGGGCACACCTTTTGACTGCCGTATGGTGTCTGTCTCCCTGTATATTTCGACTGATGTATGATTATGGGCCGGTTTTCCGATGAGAGAAACGCCTTGACAAGTACTATCTATGAACAGTTACAGTCTAATATGACATAAGAGACTCTCGTCTTTGCTCGTATGTCTGATTGTTCATTAGCCATGAGTTCTCTCAAGTTCCTTTAGGAGATTATTGGTCTTATATCTGCTTACCAAGCGCATTCAGCGCCGTGAAGTATGAGACTTGCTAACGTTCAAACTGTGGTTTTCCTTGCTGACCTCCACCTCCCGTCGGATTGCAGCGGTTTGTTCCTCGTTTGGCTCTGTTGCATCGGCTGCGAACTCGGCTTCCTTGATACGTTTGTTTTGCTGAACTGCATCTTCGTTTCCGGTGTTGGCAATGGAGTCGAGCATGCCGTAGAAGGCTCTGTCGTCTTGCGCCGGCATTTTGAATGAACCCGTTGAATATTGAACATTCAAATAGTGAAGTGTCACAGACAAGAAAACATGGTAAATACTCGAAGTTTTATTTAACGCAAGTTTTTTTTTTGTCTAGACGGTGACCGAGTTGGGTTAACCCATTGACGCAATTGGCCGAGCACATTTCAGTGAGGTCGGAACGACCGGATCCGACGGCTAGGGCGGGATCTGGGCTTTATACCCGCCAAGCCCCGCTGTCTCGCATTTCTCAGTTCCTTATCCTACAGATCCGGCATGCCTGTTCCTCGTCTGTCACATCATTGCCTTCACTTCCGCGGCATCTAGCGACTTCGACGTCGACTTCGCACGTGCTTTCGGAGCTCTCAAACCCCAAGCAGGCATTGCGGGGCCGAACTCCCGTCGGCCATGGCGGATGACTCGGCCGAACAACCCATTTTGAAGCGGAAGCGAATCAGCGTAGCCTGCAACAGCTGCCGTGCAAAAAAGTCCAAGGTGAGCTCTAAGAAATCGAATTAAGAGGTTGAAATGTGTTGACTTTTGGAAGTGCGATGGGAAGCGGCCGGTATGCGGCCGCTGCGCTGGCTATGATTACCACTGCTCGTGGGGCAACGAGGCGACGCATCGCGATGCCAGTTGCACGCCACCATTAACGTCCTCCGAAGCAGGTAACGCGGCAAGTCCACAGGAAATTTTTCATCGGTGTGAAAAGGCTATACGAAGTCTCGCCATCGATGTACCTCCTGAGGGCAGGGCCGAAATCAACCAAAGTCTGTCTCGAATCCAGGCTGCCCTGTTCCATGATAGCTCGCCGGGGGTGACCACGATTAGCCCAAGCAGCATCACGGTCAGTAGCCCTGCGCTCATTCAGCGCATTCAAAGTCCCAGATATGTTGGCGAAGTCAGCGACATTCATTTCTTTAACTTGGTTAGACAAACGGCCGCACCTCGTGGCGGTGATGGTGGTGCACAAGACGACACGGGAGAGGTTGACAACTATGACATCGATGCACCAACCACGATGGAATATTTACAGAACCCAATCTCAGATATGCCGGAAAGGTCGCAAGTGCACAGGTTTCTGGGGATCTACTTCTCAACTATACACGTTGCGTATCCTTTCGTAGAAGAAGCACCATTCATGGATAAACTCAAGGACCTACAAGACGGGAACCCGGCCCCGGATTTAACCCATTCTTGGCTTTCTCTGTTGTGTGAGTATCTAAAGTCTCAGAGTGTTTACTTTGAAATGGTGTGCTGACATCAGCAGATGCATTGCTCGCTCTTGGGGCATACTATGACTCGTTCCGGCCTGACAGCCGGCCAGATGGCTCAGTTCATCAAAAACTGTTTCAACGTTCCTTACTTTTGTCTCGCCATGATATGCTCGAGCGCTCTTTAACCCAAGTCTCGGCTCTATTAGCACAGTGCTTCTATCTACTGGCAACATCCGAGATCGATAGATGTTGGGCTTATCTCGGCCTTGCTGTCCGCTTAGCGCAGAGCATCGGGCTACATGCCGACATTCAGGACCATGGGTCGAGCCAGCCAATTTCAGAGCGCCCTCAGATTCGGAGCAGAGTCTGGTACTCCTTGTACGTTCTGGATCGGTTGACGGCACTGCAACTCGGAAGACCACCTGCGATCTCGGATCACGACTGTCATGTCCCCATCCCTTCTCGGATAGACGGTCTAGATCCAGACGTCAACGATGGTAAGGTACAAGAGATTTCCAAAGAGGGTCGGGCTGGGGAATATTTCGTCCGTCTCATCGAGTTCTCTTCCATCATTGGTCGAGTGCTGAGGGAATGCTATCACCCAAGGCGCGACATCGCAGCCAGGCTACAGAGCACCAAAGACTGCGATTTGCTACTTCTGACATGGAAGCAGAAGCTGCCAAGATATTTGAGGTTCGATCTTGGCCATGCGTTCGAGAAGTCGATTACCTTGAAGCGTCAGGTATGTCGTCCAGTCCGCGATGCGAGCATACCGGCTGACTCGGATGTAGCGGAACATGTTGGCCATCAAGTTCCACCACCTACGGACATTGATCTATCGACCCTACCTATTCCACACATCTCCCGAGAAGAATCTCTTGACTCAAGACCAATCATGTCGAAGTCGAGAGTACGGAAAGATATGTGCTACTGAGGCCCAATCCATCGCCTCTCTGATGCATAATGTCACTGATACCATGGACATCGTCATGAACTATCCCTGGTGGCAGATGATATCATGCCTCGTCTGCGCAGGATCCATCATGGTAATGGCAGGAGCTCTGATAAAGCAAGACGCCGGGGACGATACCACCGTGGTCGCCTTGGAAGAAGACGTTGAGACGTGTATGGCTGTTCTGAAGGCTTTGGCCAGCAACTCCCACGGCGCAAACCTTGCGTGGGATATGATGAAGAACATTCGAGCCCGCTGTACACGTGCTTCCGATAGACCTACCTCTGATGACACGACCTCCTTGCCGCTCAGCGCAGCTGTTCAACCCGGCCAAGGGCTAAGCCAGTCTACTTACTGTAGCCCCTCAGATACCTGTGCCATACCTTTGGTGGCACTAGATACTGCTCATTCTGGCTTCTCTGTGGAGGCGACTAATGGCTTGGACATTAGTATGGGATTTGGGGAAAATGTCATGTGGCCGATGATGATGACAGACACGACATGGCCCGGCTCGTTTCTCGACATGCTACATCCCTCATACGGATCTCAAGAAAATAACTAGAGCATCAACCATTTGACCGTTACTTCCTACACTCATTATATTGGAAATAAAGTGATGCCCATGCCCTTAAATGTCTCTATCCAATCGAACACACCAAGCGCCGTCTGATCCATTTCGTCTTTCTTTTGCCACATCGTCTGCACAACTTCCCATTGTCTCTCATAGTTAGCGATATGGTAGCACTGGGCTCGCTGCCACCAGAGAGCCCAAGGATGGCGCTCTATAGCGTCGCAGGACGCAACAAACGCAGGCCACATAATCGGCGCCATCCTCTGTGTGGCACACGATGATGTCGAGCGATCTTTGATGTCCTCGACTGCATGCATATGCTCTGCGATCCTTGCAACTATCTCATCCTGGTCCTCGCTGCGGCATTTCTGAATGCGGCGGTGGTAGTAGATCACCGTGGCCAGGTGCCAGGCATTCGCATGGTGTCTGAAAATTTCAAGGCCATCTTCGTCCTGGGAGATTGCTTCATGAGCGCCGTCGCATTCGAGGTTCCACGAGCATAGTCGATCGCCGAGTGCTTCGCAGGCTTCAAGCAGGCTATCTGGGATGGGCTCGTGAGAGCGTTCGTACCAGGTTAAATACTCTGCCAACCGGCAAGTCTCCTGGAGTTCGGCGGCAATTAGAGGCGTGATTCCGTACATATATCCATAACAACAGTCGGATGAACGCTGGGATGCAGCGAACTGATCCACATCTTCTGCCGGGTCTATGGACCACGGTCCCGGCGACGAGCAAAATGTCATGGTCCGAGCCAACAAGCAGAGAAAGTCGCTGATCTCATTCAACTGCTGCGTCGCCCTGCTGATCATTCTCCATTTACGGCGCCGTTTTCTTAGTTGTTTCGTGCCTTGCAGATGTACAGCAAAATCGGCTTCGCATCCAGACATGAACTGTAGAGGGTCAGGTCATTTTGAAGGGTACGACGTGGTCGGGTGTTCTCACATCTATCGTTACCAACGATAGCATGGCCACCATCAAAGTCTTGTACTCCGCGGTCGGCATTTCAAGACTGATAGCGGATTGTAGTAGAAGCAAGGCCTGCTGTCGATGTCGCGCACCAATCTGATGGTACTTGACTTGAGAGGGTAGACAGTTCCAGAGGTGGAAAGCTGAGGATGCGACAAGTGAGTGAAAAATGACCGATTTTACTGCGGCCTTGGGTATGTGTAGTTGACGTTGTGCTGGAGAGGTGAGGCCGGATGCGGCTTCCAGTGCGGCGGGGACGTATAGTTGTCGGTATGGGTTTTGGGGGTGCTGAATTGGCTGAAGCATAACTGCGACGTGCTCGGCGTAGTGATGCATCAGTCTGTCTATGACAGCATCACCGGATATACTGGTGGTTATTGCATACCTCAGGGGAGTGCCCATGTGATATAATACTATGCTGTTATCAGTTGAATTTGACCAGGTATTATGGTTGCTAGTCTCCAAAGAGGCTCCCAACACTTCCTGTAAGATAGCCGGTAGGAACTCGTGAGCATCGGTAGGCTCGGGGACAACATGAACAGCACCGTCTGCATCTTGTTGCTGTGGGTCCGTGTTGATAGGAGTAGAGAGACTTTCCAGTGTCGAAGCTGCCTGTGTGTCATCAAAGGCTGCTTGTACCGGTGAAGTCTCGGCGTTTGGGATGTTGTCGTTTGCCAACCCTGAGGGAGAAACCTCGCAACCGGTGCTGTCCGAGTTACTGCCGGCTAGCTGTTCGCGATGATTACTAGACGTCGAAAACACGGAAAACGGGCCTTTTGTTATCAAGACTTCTGAGCTTGCGACATCTTCGAGAGTCTCCAGAAAGCCGTCTATTTCGTGAATTCGGTATTGAGGACCTGTGTCTCTACCTGATGTTCCATAAGCCGGGTAGGTCTGCATAGCCCAAAATAAAGAACTCACCAATTCGGATCCTTCCCCTACCCTTGCTGCTACTCGAGGGCTTCTCATTCTCATTCAGTGGATCATGTACATTGACCCACTGGAGCTTAATGCCATATCCGCCACAAGGAGTTTTTATCTTCTCGCAATTCCTGCAGCTTGTAGGTCTTTCATCGCATTTGACCTTTCGTTTCTTACATGTCCAGCATCTAGACACATGTGAGCAGGTCTGGCGGTGAAATCCAGGAGATTTTGGGGAGACAAGCCATACCCAGTGAAGGTCATCGACCGCGTTGCACCTTTTGGCGGCATGTTGGGGCCACACAACTGACGGGGTAGCGTGATTGGGTGCTGCCGTGCGCGACATACAGTCAGAAACTTCAAATGGGAATTTCCATTCACCGCAAGCGGCTTGAGGGAGTTGAAATCAATACTCGGTTGTTTGATGAAACCAACTTCAGCACGCCATACGGATGAAGTCGGCAGAAACGCAAGATAGCGATGGGTAATGTGGATAGCACTACTGGTACAGTGCTATCAGAGATACTAAAATCAAACGGCACCGTATCGAGGCCGGAAATGTTCCGGATATGGTTCATTGATACTGTGTTCCTCTTGTGGCCGGATCAAAAGCCTCATTGGTCCGAAAACCAACTCAGTCTAATCATGCGAATGGGTCTTCAGTAGAAGGTAGAAAATCTTTCATTGTAGACTGTAGCAGCAGGGAGGTCAGAGGAGACTAGGCATATATGTCGTATGATTGAGTTTCGCCCTGAATCAATCGGCGATACGACCAACTGTCCGAGCTGCTCGCACCGCTGTTCATCTGAACGTGCACGATCAGGGGGGCACGATCGTCTGCCCACGACGTCCGCCTCATCAGGTCGTCCGATCTTTTGGCACGGCTTGGCAATATAGCATGACAGACACGACCCAGCTTCTGCAACCCGGCTCAAACGACGTCTTAGGTAGCGGTCCCACTTAGTGGTGACAGCGACATTGCGTGGTGCTCGAGGATGGTTGCTTCCAGGCTGTGGTGACTGAAACGCTGCGCCAGACCTCAAGGCCGCCCTATGATCTGGGCACGCGTTAAATCAACCTGATAATGTCAGAAAGTTGATGGCTGCAACATGCATTCTTGTGTATTGTAAGGTTACGAGGCCGTCGCCAACTAAGTTAATATGGTATTATAATTCGGAACGCTAAATAGTTGATGTAATATCCTCCTCTTCCGCTATAGGGCTGTGCCTATCCTGGCATTTCCGTCGTGTTCCGGCCAGTGGTCATTACTTTCGACATCACGGACGTATCCATGGTAATTATATTTTTGTCCAGAACTCTCTTGTTCCGACTTGTTGGTCGTTTCTGTGGCTCCCGACCGTGTTTTCGCCACGTATATTGGCAAGGTGTCGCTCTGTAATGCGTATGATTCCGGCGCGTGATCGCGCGCCCATAGTTTTCGGGTCACGATCTGGTTCATGGTCTGGACGGTGGCTTGTTTTGACACGTCCCACCATCTGCGAATCAGGAATCGTGATATGATCGGTAAGTTGCACACGGCTGCGCCGACAGCTAGTTCCATGTACGACCAAAATGTTGTAGTTCCGGACCAGCCTATTTTTAGGAGAGTATCATTTCGTCAGCCGAGTTCCCAAAGAAGGGTCCACTAAGAACACCAAGGCAAAGTTTCCAAGAGTAAGAAGGAAAGAGCCGAGTTCTCTTACCGAATGCGTCTCCATCACCAGCTCCATGATCACGCAACCAGGTGTAGATATAACTATCTGAGGCTAGTCAGCACAATAGGTTGATTACATGAGTCAAGACGCTCACCTTGGTAGAGGAAAAACGGAGTAGCAAGAACCAAGCTGAAGATGGACGACACCACGGCCCTAAAGTAACCTCGCGTGAGTCTGTGGTGCAGGATTTGTGGCGTGAAGGAGCAGTCCCGCGCGTCTGGATAAGCAGACTGGACTTACAGGAATCCGAAGCAGAAGACCACCAGAATATAATTCCTCTTCTCCTTGTTCACTGGAGTTAACAGCACGTCAGCAATTGCTCTTTCGGCCAGACGTGACTCGAGACTTGATGGCATACTCGTCTGTGTGATCCTCAGAAGAGGGTACATGGGCAGCAAGAACACAGTCACATCGAGGACGACAGTGACGATGCTAACACCAAAGTTGTAAGTGACATTTGTGAAGCAGTATTCGGCTGCTATTTCGTGGTTCGTCCATTGCGCCGTCGGATGTACCCCGCAAACGAAGACCTGTGTCCCGGTGTACGCCAGCATGAACAGGGTCACGGCTCCGATGAGGGCGTCGATGAGAATGATGTATCCCCGCCCCTGGTAGAGGAAGAGCTTCCGGAAGAGGAACAAGAACGCTAGTCGCACCACTCCGATCCCAACGCCTTGCAGGCAGTTCAGGATGTAGTTGATCTACGGTACTGCTTTAGTATCACCCAAATGACAATAAGATTGGACATAAGATGCTCACCTGCACATGAATGGCGTACAGCGGATTAAATACTGGATGGTCAGTGTCCTTGGTGTCCAATGTGTAATCACTCCGTGGCCAAGGTCCCTCTGGCAGAGGCCATGGATCCCAATCGTGCCGACCAGTGACGCGCTTGACAGCACCTGCATGTGGAGGTCAGCATCGTCAACCTGGGGGTTTGTACGAGATGCTGGCAAAATCGTTGAATACGAAATGCACGCTGTCTCATCAAATCCGGTGCGGAGCTTGAACATGCCCATACCATACAGAACAATCACTCCCGTCGCAATAGCAAACAGCTGACACATAAATTAGTCCACGTCCAACCCATGCGTGCCCATCAATCCATTTCGGCATATCCCAGCGAGGACTTACAGAAGCAAGAATGGCAGAGTAATCGTCGGCTTGGGGTCGTGACCGACGCTCTCGTATCGACGCAACTCGGAGGAACAGTGTCAAGAGGTCGATGAAAGTCATCACCGGGACGATCGCGTACAGCAGTTCGAAGGTGACGAAATTAAAGAAGCCGACGTTGGTGTTGTTTGTGTCCTCCGTCAGATATGCCCGCTTATTCAACCATGTCGTCGTTGTCGTCGTGACCGTCATTCTCTCATCGTGGCCTTGGATCGTCGTCGACACACCCGGGGGACGCGGACACGCACTGGGGAAATCGTGGTTCGAGGTTGCGAGTGGGCTGGAATAAAGATTGATCAAAAGCGGAGCACTCCACGGTATGTATATGGGGGAGGACGGGCGAGGAGGACACCCGGCCCTTGGGTGATCGCCCTGCCCTGCCTGCAGCGATTCGCTTTTCCATGCCCTCAGGGATCGCTGAACCTCCCAAGGCCATAGCGTTTCGTAAGGATTAGTTCCAGCTAGCTAAGATTAAGCTCCCACGGAGCAGGTCCTGAGTTGGACGACGAGACGGGGATTCCAGCATCGCATCACAGGCCCTCGCTTCACTGGGCACGTCAGCGTGGGAGGCTTCATGACTCAGTTAGCTGCGTCTGCGTCTGGAAAGGTTATCTTTAGAGCACTCGGCCATTGGCTGGCCCCTATGCCTCAACCGACCATTCGCCTAACCAGAAGAGACGATTACGGCATCTTCCCGGGCTGAAGAAAGCGAAAAGATCTTTTGCAAGAATTTAGAGTGTCGGTTAAGAAGGGATTCGGGACACGGCAATCTCGAATTATCGCATCGCTCTCGCGTACGGAGCATAGGCTTCAATAACCGAAGACTCGAATCAACCGAAACTCCTCTTGCGTGGCTTTCTTTGTGTGCTTGTTCATAGCGGAAACGGAAGTGTTGAGCCGTAATTGGTTCCCCCGATCATTTCGTATCGTTGGTTCAGTCTTCTTGGGTCTTTGTGTGAGAGATTGTGAGCGTAAGCATTCTCCGCCCCTGAACCCTGAACCCCGGCCAGCCAATACGGAGTTGCTAACTAGTTCAGTGCACCGCCTGTAGACACTCTCCGTTCCAGACCTCGAGCTCTGCCGCTCTTCCTCGAATCCGCCAAGGCAAGGCCGGAAATGCCTACTGTATCACCCAGAGGTTTTGGTGGTGGCGCAGACCATCCATTTGATACCACCCACGCGGGCGCAAATTCGAAATGGCCTTGCCATCGCAATCCGCGACAGCGATCAGACCGTTCGCCGAAGGAAAACATGGCATGCTTCTAGCTCGCGCCGACCGCCCCGAGACGTCGGCAGCATTGTTGGGCTGCTAGGCGATCGGCAGAACAGCTGAAAGATAACGGCAGCAGTGGCGCCCAGAAAACTGGTTTCAGCAGATGAAGCGTTCAAGCGAACGAGCACTAGGGCCACCGCGCCATCCCGCAACGAGCGGGCTAAGCCTGTGGAATGAGGCCATTCGTGATTCTTGACGCAGTTGTCGAAATGCCGCCGTCTTTCCTGTCCTTGGTTGTATAGACTTGGCGAATCCAGGGGTAGCTGGGCTTCTGGTGACTGCGTTCGCAGCGTTCCTCGGGCTGGCTGAATCAAACGGGAGAGCCCGAAAGGCTGGTTTGCCAAGCCATTCCGGCCCCATTTCCGGACCCCGAGCCCCAGACCTGGCCTGCGGAAAAGCCCACCGAGGACGAGATAATCAAAGGATGCCGGACGGCCTGACTCGCGAGCAGTCGATCTCAGTGGCAGGTTCGCATTCAACCCCGATGCGTGGATGTGTTCGCAGGATCGCAGATACATGCGGACTGATCCGAATTGTAAGGAGTTCGAGCCAGTTGATGGCCGGCCAGCTGGATTGACAGCCACGTTTGCCAGTTCCGCCGAGTTATCTTGCTGCTTGGACAGTCGGCAGACCGGAGATTCTCGGATGCCGTGGATTTTGCCGGCACTGTTGGGGCCAGACTATCAACAAAGACTCTGTGACATTCGTTGGTGGCCTGACAATCGTTTGTGGTCTTTCTCATGGCCGCGGTGGATTCCTGGGGGTTCCAGGGGATTGCGCGTGTCGATGAGATCGGTGTCCGTGATGCAGCATGGGCCAACTGACACCGGGGGACCTCAATCTTTTTTGACTTTCATCGTGTTGTTGGTTGGCTCGTGTCTGACCCGCACGTTGCGCTGGCTGGTCCCAAAAAGCAGGAAGAATTTTTGCCTGACCCAGGAACTGGCCCAGGGATCATCTACAGGCTTTAGGTGAGAGCTTCAACAGCACGGGCTCGTTGGTGCCTTTTTAAACGTTGACAGCCTGTCGCTGGTGTTTTCTTTAGCCCAAGGCTGTTGCGTCGTTACGTTGTTACTCATTGGATCTCTATGATTGCCGACGGATACCCCTACCCAGGCAGAATACTTCAGGGTTGCTTCTTCTTGGTTCGTAAATACCATACAAGTGACGCCTTGAGCTTTAACAAGACACGACTAATATCAACTAGACCATGACCAACTACGGCGGGACGAGTTGGTCTATCGCACGCTTGGTTTGAAGACACTCTACCGGAAGTTCTAATAGAGGGCAGTTCGGTCACACACAATCTCGTATACCCCCCATCAGACTGTTCTTTTGCATGGCTAATGGCCTTCAAAACGCCAATTAGGCCGATTCTGGAAGGCTGCTTGCTTCCTGCAACCTAGGCCCGCATCGGTCGTGACAGGAGAGAAGGAGAGTACTGTGCCATGATGCTACGACCAACTTCCCGGGTGCGAGGTAGACGACGCATGAAAGTATCCTTACCTCAGGAAAGTTTCGTGTGCGCATCAGTAATTAAGTGTTACGTCCAGACTTTCTTCTTGACAACTTCGCCCCACAAGGCTTTCGAAGGCGGCAAGGAGTGAACTGGCGGCTTACATTTCCACCCTTGTCGAGATTCCCGTGGACATTTTGTCTGACAACGCTTGTGTTGAGCGTAGAGCTAGAGGAAAGCTTCCCAACTCAAAATTTCGGGTGTCTATGACGGCTAAGTCTTGGATGGCAGTTCAGTTCTTTTGCATTGTGGACCTCATCGGCGCCAGCTGTCCAGTTTGGCCATGACTGTAAGGGCCGATGAGCCGCATAAAATGCCCGAGCATGTGCAACCTGACTTCAAAGCTTCCTGAAATGACGGTAAAACCCCGCCCAGTCCTTGGAAAGTTGGCTTCCGTCGGGCATATGATAGATATCCCGTTCGAAAACCGGACAGATATTTCTGTTCATCTGGCATGACCTGGTAAGCACCGTATTCACCTCAATCCGTTGTTGTCAAGCACTGCATTCTTCATCCTTGCAGTGAATAACTGACCAAACGCCGTCAATTCTTGTTAGGTATCAACAACTGCTATAGTACACGCATACATCTCGTCGCTTATTTCTCAAAGCGCTTGGCAACGGTCTTCCAGTTGACGACGTTCCAGATGGCGTCAAAGTACTCGGCCTTGCGGTTCTGGTACTGCAGGTAGTAGGCGTGCTCCCAGGCGTCGATACCGAGGAGGGGCTCGAGGTTGCCAGTGACGGGGTCCTGGTTCGCGCGGGTGACGACACCGAGGGTGCCGCTGGTCTTGTCCTTGACGAGCCAGGCCCAGCCGGAGCCCTGGATGCCGGCGAGGGAGGTGTTGATCTGCTTCCTCAGGGTGTCGAAGGAGCCAAAGTCCTCCTTGATAGCCTTCTGTTGGGGGGTTAGCAAGTATTCGCGGGCTTGCTAGGGAGTGCAGAGGGGAGGGAACGTACAGCAAGCTTGCCGTCGGGCTCACCACCGCCGTCCTTGCTGGCGGGGGCAAGGTTCTCCCAGAAGAGGGAGTGGTTGACGTGACCACCACCGTGGAAGTTGATCAGAGGGGCCTGGGCAGCGGCCTTGACGAAGTCGCCCTTGGAGTTGGCCTCCTCGACGGTCTCAAGAGCGGTGTTGAGGCCGTTGACGTAGGTCTGGTGGTGCTTGGAGTGGTGGAGCTCCATGATCTGGCCGGAGATGTAGGGCTCGAGGGCGCCGTAGTCGTCTGCAGGGGCATTGTCAGCATTGCGACTGGAAGCTAGAGAGACGGCGCTACTGACAGGGCATATCGGGCAGAGTAGCCTTGCCGCGGACGAAGCTGGTGCTGGCCATGGCGGCAGCAGGCTTCGCAGCACCAGCTCGCAGAGCTGTGCGGAGGACGGGAGCGGTTCGGAGGAGAGTGGACGACATTTTGCGTGTTCTATGTCTGTTCTGGTGTCAATTGGTGTTCCTGACGATACTCCAATTCAAATTGAGGGATGCTGGGAGCAGAAATAGAGGGCGGAGGGGTACCTTTGAACGTGCAATTGGTGATTGACAAATGCAGCAGAATCGCAATGACAGCTTCAGGATGATGTCAATTGCGGGAGGTTCGGTCGGCTATTACGTGAGGGCACCGGTGGGAGCTCGGATCTCCAGAAAAGCTGCAACTGGTTGCCGAGCGGAGCTCTCCACTGCTCTCAGTGCTTCCAGCGGGCTCGCTGTTTCTCGGTGCACCTTCTGTCCGTTTCTGCGAATGAAAGCAGCATGTCGTCATCCACCCAAGGTGGGGCAGCCTGTCACCTCCAGCTTTTCACAGCCAATCCCAGCCAGCCGGGTTCTCAGGTGTGTATTCTTAGGTAATCCAGCTTCTTCCATTGGCTGAGCCACCAGCCACATCCGGGATTCCTCACTGCCACCTGTGGCTAGTGGTCAATAGCGGGGTCAGACTTGGCTCTGGTGGGCTGGCTGCTGGGTCGCGTCAACACCGCAACTCGACGCGTCGAGCGAGCTTCGACGGTGACATCGTCAACCGGGCGCTGCTTTCCTCAACATCGACTACACCCGCCGCAAACCGAAGCAGCCGCCATGTCCTACTACGACATTGACTCCATCCTTACGGATGCTGAGGTATGCTGGCACTCTCTTCAGCGCTGCACCACATCCCTCCATACTCTGCACCGGCCAAAGTATACATGAGCGAAGCCAAACAGCTAACGCAACCAAGAAAGTTCCCTGCAAATTCGAAATCGAGGCCGCCGACCTAGGCTATCTCGACAACAACCCATCACATGCACTGAAAGCCGGCACTCCGGTCACTCTTCCCCTCTGGCTTGCTGAGATGCTCGCCCTCGCCAGCACCGGCGAAGACTCCAAGGCACCAGTCACTCTCAACCTGCCTCCCGCCCTGTCGAACCAAGTCGTGCAAGCCCTCAAAGCCGACTCGCGAGCCGTACCCGTCCGAGATCAATGCGCCCACTTCTACGGCCTTGGCACGCGCATCCTCGACCTTTTTGACGAGCGCGAACTAAGCGAGGTGATGCGCAAGACATTTGTCACGCGGGCAGCCGAGATCTCTCTACACGCTCGCAAGGGAGGCGATGACGGTGTTGGTGGCTCTAGCGAGGACTTCCTCCGCGGGTTGGATGAGTGGGAGCGAAGTCTCTTCCGCAAGGCACACGACGGCACCAAAGCTTCCAAGGAGTGGATGGACAAGGTAAAGAAGCACTAGAAAAATACCCCGAACGGAAACACTGCATGCCGTGGACGGTACAAGGTGGAGCAACACGCTCAAGAATCGCGGATATCGGAATACGGGGGAACAGCGAGGCCATGCCGCCAAGCCAAGTCGCATTGCCAAATTACACCACGCAGACATGAGGCACTACAAGAGAAGCAGCATCCAGACACGGAGCAACCGCACTTTCGGCGCTGCTAGTCGGCCCCCTTCGGCCCAGCTCCGGAGACCGAGCTAGTCAAAAACTTCTTGGAACCGGCGGCCATGCAACCCGCAAAATTGTCCGGAAGGCGAAAACAATCGCCGTCAGACGCTATTGTCCGTGTCACGGGTCAACTTGGTTTGTCACAACAGCAGAGCGCGGGGTCGGAGGAACTGGCGGGGCTGACTCGCTCTTCGGCTCTGGGAGGTAAAGCCGAACTGACACCAAAGCACGACCAACTTAATGATTAATGAATGATAAGCGACGTCTAGAACAACCTTTTTGCATGATACAATTCCAATTTCAATCACTCTGGTTTGCACACGGGGACTTGCTGCCGGAAATGCGGCTGTCATGGTTTCACATGGTAATCTTATCGGGATCCTTCGCCACTTATCTGATATCTGAAGGAACGCGGGGCAGTCCGAGGAGATAACAAAGCGCATGGCTGTCGGCGGCTTCCGTGCCTCCACAACGCTCCCGTTAGCTTTGCCAGAAACATATAGAAAGGCCCAGATTGTTCCTCATCTACCTTTCTTTAATGAAGCTGATAGACCGTTTGCAACTCTCAACAGAAAAAGTCTGCATACTGCTACACAGCCTCTTCCAATGCCTCACGCAACTCCCCCGACCACAATGGCTTCTCAAGCAAGCATTACACCGCTTACCCCCGCCGAGGGCTCAGCTGTTGATTTCGGAGCAGTCGTCTCCAACGTTGACATCGAAAATCTCACTGGTAAGGACACATGAAGATATAAAGTGATGTTGATGTTATACACGTAAGGGAGAATACCCGTAAAATCGGTAACCTCCTATGGTAAGCTCTTTGAACTCTCTCACATTGAAAGCAGAAGGCTGACATCTTCCAGATGCCGACTTTGACGCCATCCGTGATGCCCTCTTCAAGCACCAAGTCCTCGTCTTCAAGAACCAGAGCCACGTGTCTCCCAAGGCGCAGTATGAAATCACTCAGCGCTTCGACCCGGATGCCGGCGCCTCCTACGGCCACGCCAAGACCATCGACGCGAAGCGCTCCATCTTGCACCCCGACCTGAAGACCATCCCCCACCAGCCACAAGTGCAGGTCATCGGCAACGGCTTCGTAGAAGAGTACGAGGGCCTGAAGAACATCCAGCTCCGCCACCCTCACCACCGCACCTTCCACGCCACCACCATCCCCGCCGAGGACGACCTCGACTTCACCCGCTTCTACCGCTGGCACATCGACGCAGCCCTCTACGGCCTCGCGCCCCCCGTTGCCACCACCCTCCTCGCCGTCCGCGTCCCCGGCGGCCGCAAGCAGACCCTCCGCTACGACGACGGCACAGGCGAGGAGATGACCGTCCCCCTCGGCACCACGGCCTTCGTCTCGGGCTATGCAATGTACGACAGCCTCTCCCCGGAAGACCAGGAGTTCGTGCGCACCACAAAGGTCGAGTACGCCCCGCACCCGTACGTCTGGATGTCCAGCGCCAAGTCCCGCTCCGACGGTCTCGGCCTCGTCTCGGAGGACAAGGAGGTGCCCCTGGCCGACCTGCCCCCGATCGAGGAGGACAAGATCCAGGTCCTGCCCATGTGCTGGCGCAACCCCGTCACGGGCCGGCTCGCGCTGCAGGTGCATCCCTCGGCGGTCCGGAAGCTGCACCTCAAGGACGGGTCGGTGGTGGAGAACCTCGCGGAGGTCCGGGAGACGGTGCACCGGCTGCAGAGGCCCGGCATCGCGCCCAAGAACGTGTACGCGCACGACTGGGAGCAGGGCGACTTTGTGGTGTTCCACAACCGCGGGGTGATTCACTCCGTCGTGGGCGCGTTTGCAGAGACCGAGGTTCGGTTGTTCCGGCAGTGCAATATCGCTGCGAGCAAACTTCCCGAGGGCCCCGTCGAGGATGCTGCGGCTGTGTAGGGGATGATGGGTTTCACATGACTTCTTTCTAGCGTTTTAGTGAACTTTGCAAATTGAAATAGAGTTGCTTGTCATCCGTCGGCGTAACCCGCATCTCCGTTCGTGACATCCGGGTCTCTTGACCGCCGGGTTTGACTTCACACGACCATGCTGCCGGTCTTCCGGGGGCGATGCAACCAAATCCCGAACTATACAGCCGATTAGCGTTCACCCCCACGGTGATATGATTTAGGCTTTCGCCCAAGGTTGAGTCTCTGGCGAATAAGGTTTCGTGACATATGCCAGACCTCAGATGAAGCTGCGAGGCAGGCTGGCTGTCGGAGTCAATGGCTGCTAGTCAGTCTCTCGCGACATCGACATGCCCTTTCGAGCAGGCCGGGTGACCGGTCACAATCCACACCAGAGCAAGACAAGCCCCGCGGCAGTCGTTTTCCTACGCAGCCATCGTGCACTGCCGGTGACTCACGGCGCGACGACGATCCCACGCACGGGGCGATTTGTAGTTGTAACTTGATGTGCTTTTCGGCACACTATTGAAGTTTCCGGTGACATCGGGCGGGCGCACGCAACGACGATCGCAACTCGTGATTCCGTGATCGGAGGTTGCATCGGACCCCTCTGGCCGAGTGACACGGCCGGCTCGTCGAACACAACCCCGCACCCCGTCATCCCACGAGAAGTAGCACGAAGCGGTGATCATTAGCTCATTGTTTGCCTCAAATAGGTAATCCGAAGGGAACATTAGAGAGGCTCTGCAAGAGATCGTGACTGTGTGATTGATCTAGCCGATGAAAATATGGGGTATTGTGTGATGATGTGGGCAAGCCCTCAATGCAAACAAAAAGGATTCCAAGCCATGCCCGTCCCGCCGACCCGCCCTCCGACCATGTAGGCCATACCATCCGCCCAAGTAATTGCCGTGTGAAAATGTAAAACCAAACTTTTTGTATGTGTAAAATGGGGTATCATTCTAACCAGAGCCATTATGCTCCGCGCATCGCTGAAGGGAGAAAAGATCGCTGTCCAAAAAGAGCACCCAGCGTCTAGGCATGCTTCCAGAACTTCCACTTCTGCGGCTTCTGACACGCGTCACACTCCGGGACGAGGTACTTGCTGAGCTTCTTCCAGCCCTCCTCGGGAAGGGACTCGATGGAGTCGTTGAGCATGTCCATGCAGGCACGGGTAGCTGTTCTCTCATGTTAGTCACCCTTGACCTGTGTGTCTCATAGCCAGAGCTGGAACCTACGCATCATCTCCATGGCATCATCGCTGTCGGCGGCAATCTCCATGCGGGTCGAGTTGTAGCAGTGGTACTTTTGCTGCAGCTCGAGCATGCACTCCCACATCTCCTCGAGGTCGGCGCCGTCGGCGGAGGAGCGGCGGCCGGTGAGGGAGGGTCTCGGGTGTGCGGCGTTCTCCACAGCAGCCGGGGCGGTGGCCGGGGCGTACTCGGTCATGGTGACGTGGGCCTCGGGCTTCTCTGAGTTGGTGGCGCAGGGCCTGATCATGTCGTCCTCGCTGTCGCTCTCGGGCCAGGAGGAGTAGCCGGAGCCGCTTCGCTTGGGGAAGTTTCGTTGTTGACGACCGAACATCTTGTATGTGTATGTGTATGTGTGGATGTGAGCAGGTGGTGGTGAGCGAGTGGGTTATAGCTTCTTGGTGCTAGTGTATGAATCTGTGTCGAGTATCGATGGGTAGGGGCTCAAGATGGTGAAGAGCAGCCCTATGTTTATATCAAAGTCGAAAGCAGTGCCGAGCAACAAAGTCGAGAACGGTGACGAAAGGGAGGAGGGATTCAAGCCCACTATATAAGCCGCGGGTGCCGGAAGCCCTATGCAGTGATCACCAATCTAAAGCTCAGATCGTTCGAGACGAGGCGCCCTAAAAATCTGAGAAGCGATGGCGATCAGACCCGCGGCGGCGCCCAACGGAACCAGGCCGATCCCTACTCATGCGGTCACTGAGACTTTTGTTCAGGCCATTCCATCAGATGGGTGGGCAATTTGGGTGGCCGCAAAGGTCCAGGTAGGGACCAAGGTAAGGTAGGGGTGGGTGTCATCGAAAAAGCGTGGCTAGTGTGGTGTGGGCTGGCGGTACGTATGTTGTTCGTTGTATTGAATGAGGCACACACCCTTGGATGAGAGTCATTGCAGCCAGTAACAACGTAACAAGCGCGCAAGCGTCAGCCGCAACATTTTGCAGAAACGACTTGACGACTCCTGAAGGGGGCCTCCTTTCAGGCCGCAGAGTCTTTCTTCTGAGGTAATTCGGGCTAGAATGAGTAATGAGGATGGGGCCGGGAGGGTGCGCTGAGAGCTCCGTCTGGCCCGGACGCTGCCCGGGACAAGGCATTAAACTGGGCCCTGGCAAGCAATTTTTTCATCGGTACCTTTCGTTGCAGCTTTGCTTTTGGCGCGTTGCCTCCTTGCTTTCTAGAAACCTGGGACGAACACGCGAATGATGGGACGCAAAAAGGGCCGAACCACGCAATGTCTGAGGGCCAGAGGCAAGAAAGAACTGGAGCTTCGCACGCGGGAAGTTTTCGTGGCTTGACGTTGTGCTCCTTATTTCCATCATGGTCCCCTGGTGAGAAATAAAATAACTGAAATTTTCTTGTTGATGCTGCTGGATGTGTTGTTGCCAGGAGGCTTTGGTGAGGCGGCAGATGGGTACGTATCGAGCAAGCACTTGGACAAGTTGGACTAAGGTTACAGCTTAGAGGGTATCCGTATCCGTACATGGTACGCATCAGCTTAGGTTAGTACACATCAGCGTGCAATGCAGGGCCAACAACACAACATTTTGGATCCCAATCCCAAATTGAACCCGCCCGCACCGGCCGGCATCCAAACCTCCCGCCCGCGCGCCCTGCCCTGGTTCCCATAATCGTCCTGCTATGATGTGATGGGCGGTGTCAGCTCTGCGTCCCTGACTGGATGAAAACAGCCCGCCGCGACGTGGACAGGGTGGCTGCGGCGGTCATGCGATTGAAGAGGGCAGCGCATCATCACATCCGCCCAGGCCGCAGATGACATCTGCCGGGCGAGGAAAGGGGTTGCTTTGCCGGAGGGGACGTTTACTCCCAGATACAACACTCGGATCTACACCTTGGCTTTCTGGCTGTGATGGTGGTTCGTGTTTTGCTGTGGCGCATGGTTGTAAACAATGTGGCTCTCTTTCTTTTCTCCCTGGCGACAACTAAGACATTGCACGCACTGATTGACCGCCCGCCGCCCCCATGATGCGATGCCATGCGCCCATGAAGCGATAAGGCTTATCCAGGGGCCCGAATCGTGCTATTCGCCAGGGCAGGTTGGCGAGCCCCCTCCTGACCTGCGGTGAGGGCCCTGGAAAGGGTTGAGAGTGTCTTAGACACCGAGACATGCGCCCAGCGCCGGCACTTGCGGGCTGGATCAAATGACGGTGACGATGCGGGAAGGGCGCGGGAGGATTGGGTGTGCGGAGACATGTCAGATGAGTCTTCGAAGAGCACGCAAGATAGAACCTCACGCACCGGCGCCGCAAACGCAACCACACACACAACAGGCGAATGTTCACTCAACCTGCAATTGCAAGCGCATGTCCGTGGGGGACCGTAAAAAATGATTTTTCCCAATGGCCTCAATTTACTGGCGGCGGGCCACATCATCTCATGTTCCCGTCTATTCCCGCAAAAGAGGGGCCGCCAACACGCAGGTGGAGGGAGGGGCGTTTTACGTTTCACAGGTATCCGTACCTCTGTACGAAGCATGCTGCTGCACCAGGGAAACGTGAGAGTGAGAGGGGCCCGGTGCCGCACCGGAGGAGGGGCGTGCCGAAACTCGGTGAAGTGGGCAATAGGCCGACTCCTGGGCATCCTGTTACAAACCTCAACTGTCTTTCGACGCGGACGGGGAGTATGGAGTACACCGCTGAGGGCTTCGGCAACCGGCAGCACCGGTCGTTGACTATACTTTTACGCTACCTTACCACCCGTCCAAGTAAGAGAAGAGGTAAGATGGGATCGTCGTGGCGCGGTCCATGGCGCCATGGCCACATCATCAGCCGGACACTTCGGGCCATGCCACCAGCCAGCCCAGCTAGACAAGATGACGACCGGACGAAGCTGCTAAGACGAAGGGCCAAAAAAACACGGGCTGATTATTCCAGTCTGACGAAACCCGATCCTTCGACAAAGCTTGTGTCGACGTCTGGTTTGCCCGATAAGCGCCTCGACAGCACGAACAGCACAGCCAAAAGGGGTCGATGGCGCTCTAGAACCCGGAATATTGGGGTTGGCAGTTTGGCAGTGCACACCGAATGCGTCATGCCATCTCAACGCATCCCGTTGGGCGACTCACTGGCGTTTTTGATTTGTTGTTATCTCGTCACTCGGCCCCCAAGCAGAGCAACTTCACATGCTCACAGCCACAATTTTCCTATTCTTGGCCGCTCCTTGGCTTGCACGCTGATGACCCCGCAAAGCCACACATCATTATCAACGCCAAGTCAACGACGAGAGGAGGGTTTTGTTGGCGCCGTAGCTGAGCATGCACGCCCGCAACGAGCCATCTTACGCGAACATTACCCAAGAAGAAGAAGCCCCTCAGCAATCGGGCGATAGCCACATGCTGTTGGACAAACCGTCTCCGATGCAACGACTCGACGCAACGACCCTCGTCCTTTGATGCGAGGCTCAGCTTTCCCCACAAAGTCGAAGCCGCAGGTGCCGGGCGGAGCGCACTCCGGGAACTAAAGTTGCCAAGCCGCTGACGGCGTCGTCAGGTTGAGAGGACCGCGACCACTAACGACTGAAGCTGACACGATGTTCGCAAACTAGAGGCCCTACGTGTCAACATGATTTCACGAACACGGCGATCATTTACCTGGGGCGTCTCCTTGGGCAGCTATTTACCTGTTGATTTGATTAAGCTTTGGGTCAGCCCTGGATAAAGCCCGACTAGCTGAGCTCCACCAGTGGTCGCGTCACTCCATGAGAACCCAAGTAAATATTGACGAAATAGAGTTAGCTTCGACCAGGCAACGGAGGCTGATGATCGCCAGCCCAACAGTCGGCGCCCAACTACCGACGAACCCCGGAAACAGTAATTGCTGAGGCTTTTGACGATCTAGCATTGTGGAGATGACAAGACTTGAGTTCACGAACCCCTCAATTAAAAGACATGGTTTCACCCTGATGTTCGAGTTACTGCCTTGATGGCGCCTGACTACAGACAACTTCCTTGGTCAGGCCCAGGTAAGCGCACCCTTGACGATGTTCTCTAAACTCTCCTGCTCGACCCGCAGCAGATCGTTATCCACCCCGTCCAGGACAGACCTCCCGGCTCCATCCTGGTAAAGCTGGGGACAAGGAACGCGACATACGCGCCCTTGTAGTCGCCATCCTGCAGCTTGATCCGCCCCTCTCGCCTGGCCTCGTCCGTGCTGACTGTCGTGGTCTTCCATTCCGTGTTTGTCTGCTTCTCCAGCTCGTCAAGGATCTTCCTCTGGGAAGTGGTCAGAGCAGCGATGCTAACGTGTCGGTTCTTCGTTTCCTCGGGGTGCTGGAAGACAGCTGCGATGGGCTTGCCGATCTTGGCGATGCTCATCGCAGTGAAAGGTTCATTGCCTGAGTCGTAGATGGTTGCTAAGTGTTGTTTGATGTCGAAACCAAAGTCTGGGAACAGCGCCAGTGACTGACCAACAGGTTAGTAAATAGATTATCTTGGAGCAGGGAAACAGGCAGAGCAGAGGTGATTGGGGATGGCAGGGGACGACAGAGACAATGGAGACGATAGGGGCGGCCAAGACGATAAGGATAATATGGTGCTCACCCTGTCAAGCAAAGGCCCATTGAAGAAGGATGTCCAGGTGAACTTGCCATTCTTCTCTGCCTTCTCCTTCAATAGGTCCAGAGCCTGCGCCTTCTTTCCCAAAATGGCACGGTACTCAGGTACATCATTGGGGCCTTTGGGAACACCAAAGTCGCTGGGGATGAACCTCTTCACGCCAGCCTTCTCAGCGGCATGTATGACGTCGACCTGTCTGTCCAAGACGGCGTGGCCGAGAACGCAGAGCACGGCGTCCTGTCCTGACAGGACTTGCTGCAGTGACTGCGGGGTGAAGTCGGTGACGGCGACTTTCACTTGCGATGGGAAACGCTTTCCTACGCTAGAGTGCGTGACGATAGTCACCACGAAATTGGCGGCCAGAAGGGCGGGGATGGCATGGCTTCCGATGCTTCCGCTGGTCTAGATGATGGCATGTTAATTGAAGCGTAAACTCGCGGTCACCGGCAATAAAGGTTTGGACAGTAACTTACCCCAACAACTGCTACGTTCTTGATTGAGCTCATTTCCTCGTCAATTTATCTTGAAAGTTGAGTGGCTAGTGATAGTTGAATTGATTAATGATGTCCTGTCTTCCAAATCGCTCTGTCTTCTTGACGATGACTTCGTCGTCACACTTTATGCCTTAGCGACTCAAGGAGCCAACGTTATCATACACCACGCAATCATCAATTATTTCCAATTCAATTAATATTCGTTTTCGGATTCTCAGCAAATTTGTTGGTTTGGGTTTCGAAAAAGCTCCTCTGCCTGCGGTGAAAGTCATGTCCGGAGATAACAATGACACAGGGCGTTGCCGCAGGGTTCATGCGGGTCTTGTGTGATTGGTGCAAGTTTCAATCTCGCCATCCTTAGGATTGATTGACTGTTCAACCTCATCTTGTGAACCACAAGAAACAATCAGTAATCGGTGAAAGGAGTGTACCCAGTCGCATGATATGACGGGGCCTTGCGCATTCCAGGTAGCCGCCTAGGTTCCCCCAGTGCCAAGTTCGAACGAGAAGGCGGAATCGCCATTCCTCCACGGGCTGAGAACTTTGGGCGCTCGATTTCTATGCGGGCGCTACAACGTATCCAATTCTTCAAAGCACCTTGGTTCGAGTGTATACCTTCGTGTATCAAACTCCGGAATATCTTTCGTCGCACGAATCCACGCGGCCGGGGCATACATTCCCCAACTCGAGACACAGCGGTTTTCGGACCTCCAGCTAAGAGGGTCATTTAGGTGCCAATTCCACTGTCTGTCGAAGTCGACATCACGTGTTGTTTCCCTCAAAAGCTTGTAAGAAACGAGAGAGACAATCCTAGAGCCATTCTTTGCCAAGTCCCTCCAACTGTAGTTGAAAACCGTGGAGCAATAACCGCAGTTGACAGAACGCCCTCGCTTTGCTCTGGTCATACTTTCAGTTTTCCAAACGTCGTCATACTTGTGATCCATGGGATCCCGCATTGTGAGGCCTTTTGATGGTGGATCAGGTGGTGTTCCCATGAAGATATGCGGGAATATCTCGCGCCACTTGAGGTGGGGACAAATCTGACGAAGGCTAGGTTCATTTTCGACGATATCAAAAAGGTATCGTACTGCATGTCGGACATTTTCCTTCTTTTTTGATGGTAGCAATGTGACAACAGTTCGAAGTAACAGGTTCCCGTCGGCTACGATGCAATTTGCAACTAGCAAAGTTTTGGCTTCGTGGTCGTCGCGTGTGAAAACGGTACTGGAAGATAGATCTGCCAGATTGTATATATTCAGGCCATTGCGATACGATCTCATAACAGCTCTTATCATGTTTAAGTGTATTTTGGGCGGTAATAGAGGAGATGAGTATTTCCTGTGGAAACCCAAGATGGGGTATTTTGGTATCTCCCAGCAGGGTCGGATACGCCGACTACTTTCTTCCAAATTCTTAGGTGGCTCCGAGGATTCTGGTGGATGAAAGACCTTGCACCGATAACAAAGAACGTCTCTCATTCTGGGCACTTCCCGCTCCAATTGACGGAGAAAATACAGTCTTTCTTCTGTATTTATACTCGAATTGAAATCGATGAGGCATTGCCGCCCAACTTTGAAGAGCATCATTCTACTCGTCAGAGCCAACATCACACGATCCTTAAGAGCCAGATCTTTAGCTACCAACAAAATGAGCTCGGCCGGAATGATTTCGATCGTGGCGTACCCAGAGACGGAGTAGCCGTTGACTACTCTGGGGCTCTTAACGAGGTTAGGCTTTGGGTGACCGTTGCGAACGCGTCGGAAGACATTTCGCAAACGCCCTTTCGGTGCCCGAACTGTTGGCGCTGTGTAGCCTTCAGGGACTGGTTCTATTATCCTAGCGGGTGGATCGTGGGGTTGGGCCTCTTCAGGTGCAGGAGACTTTGAAGATCGAAGTACTAGGCGTCGTATCTTTTGGGAAATAATGTGAGGCATCGTGAAACACTCAAAGGCGGCGAAGCATGGTTTTAGAGAAGATGTTAGGGGTGTGAAATGAGCAAAATTCGTGGAAGAGATACTGCATAGTTTGGACATTTACGGCCTGGCTGATTCCCTATCTCTAGTATTTTAACTAGAACGTTGTTCATGTTTTTCCGCTGTAAAACTTTGCTTAACCGTTATGGGCTTGCTGAGAAACCAAGGTCGCTGGCTTAAAAGCTTACCTTGTTGTAAAGCTCTATATAGTTGTTCCCTTCTTCATCTTCATCTATCGACGCATGTTGCCATTCTCCTGCATTGTCGTCGGCGTCATCATCGCCCGATGCTATTGTTTCGTTCTTCTTGCTATTAGCGCAGTAGTGCGAGAGCAGCGATAGCTCCACTTTAAAGTTCAGGAAAGACTTGGGTATAACATGAAGAAGCAGAAAAGAAATACGATAGATTGAAAGTGTCGAGAAGTAATTCGGCGGGATGCTGTGGCTTACTTTCGATGTGCGGAACTTCCAAAGGGTGCAACAACCAGCATTAAGAGTTTCACAACCGTGACTTCGCAGCTGCTTATCGAAACAAAACAATAAACATAGAAAATTCCTATGAATTTGATTACGTATAAACAGTAAGGCATGTAGCATGTAGATGGTTTCTGAAATTCCTTGGCTGTAAATGTACAGAAAGTCCTACAAGAGAAAGGGTTTTACTTTGTTACATTCATTGTTTCTACAGTCGCCATCAGCAGAAACACTCCGGACTGACTTTGATTCCTCCATGATGACGCTCGATTTATCTCGCAAAATCCGACAACTGGCCGCATTGCTATATTTTGACTCCCTCTCACCTTCAGGTGCGGGCGGCCGGTTCACCATCCTCTCAGGTCGAGCGATCGGGGTGAGCTTGGCGGCCAGGCAACTCTGCAGGGCCTGGGATGTTTGGCCACAATCTCACTGCATGATAGTGGATACAACCATTGAAAAGTCACAATTAGGCAGCGGCCAAGATAGTCTACAACTGTTGGTGACAAAGACCTCCTCTATAAAATGTATCGAAATATTGAATGAAACATTCAACTCTAATCGACGAACTACAAAGCCCTATCGTCTCACTAGACGCGAAAGAACAACGATCGAACGATGGAGATTGACTCGACAAATGCATTTCCTGGTGCATTTATTGCACTGCTCTCGCATGTTCGTCACAGCAGAGACAGGTCGCCAACCTTTCCGGTAGAGATCTTTGAGGCCATTCTCGCAGATGAAAGCCTCACACAGCCTGATCTCAAGGCACTCCGACAAACGTGTCGACTCTTTGCGTTTCTGGTAACAGATCGATTGTTTGAGCGCATTGGCATCTCCAGAACATGGAGAGATCGAAAATCCTTCCTGAACATTGCCGCAACGCCGCACCTTGCCAAAGCTGTTCGCACAGTCGTATGGTACGAACTGCCTGGCAACGAGTCCAATTTGCGTCTCTTCAATGGTCCAGGGAGGCACCCGCACTTCTCGGACGGTCCAGAGCCTCCTAAGTGTCGCCTTAAGAACTGGCGCAAAGGCAGATACGAGCGAAAAAAGTTCACGTGGCCGGACCTATCCCGAAATGAAAACGCGTGGCGCAATAGAATGTTTACCGAAGCGGCATCTCTGTTCTGGTGGAAGATGGATATTACGTTCCAACCTTGTCGGTTATACAGTCACAGCAGGGTAGCGGCGAACGAAAAGATCGCGGCCGATTTCTTTCCTGTTTTCTGCGATTCCTTGCGCGCCATGCCGGGCTTATCGACTTTTGGTTCGGAGCCTATGCATCCCGACCGACTGCTCCAGGATGCAGTAGATGGGTATCCATTCGTTGCTCAGCTCTACCAGAGCCACGAGGAGTCAGTTGTCGATACAGACTTCTCCGGGATTCGTCGTTTCCTTCAGAAAGCTATAGTCGCATCGCGGCAGTGGCCAGGTGGACCGTCCATTGATGAACTTCACGTCGTTCCTATCAACTACCATATCTCGCCATCGGGCATGTATGGCTTCGATCTTATCAAACGACTGCACTTCTGCTGTCTTAATCGGGATCCGGACGGTATGATCAATTTACGGGAGATTCTCGGCGCTTCACGGAACTTGTCAAGCCTACGGCTCTGCTTCGATATTGTCGGGCAAGAGATCCCCCCCTTCCCTTCTGAACGCGTACCTAGCCCCGAAGGTCTGAGTTATGTGACTCTCGACGGGACAAACGTATGTCTTTTTGCTTCTCTATCACGCATGCCCCGGCTGGAATCGCTGTATTTGGACGGAGTACCTTTCTCTTTAAATGGATTGGCCTCTTTTCTCGAGAAGCATGCGCATACATTGCGGTGTCTTCATTTGAACATGATTCCCAGATACTGCTTGCCGCCAGGATTCATAAGCAACATTCCAAATTTGAACTTGGAAACTTTCGGGCTGGAACATGGTGGAGGATGTCGTATTCACCGAACGGAATCTAGGGCAGACAGCGTCTTGGACATGGAGGCCCAAACATTCGAAGATGACATGTCCCTAGACAGCGATGGGTCTTACGAACCAGGAGACGATGACTTCGATGATCTGGAGTCTATCAAGGAAGACGACATCACCGCAGGCCAGCCCGTCATGCCCTGGGAAGATGATGAACGACCAATGTATGCTCGCGAACATATGTCGCACCTCCGCCACCTGGAACGGTTCAGGGCAAGTGGTGATAAAGGACCCGCAATGTGGCATTTTAAAAAAAGGAATGGTGAGGAGGCGTGGGGAGAAGACCCGTTGGAATTCTGGTCAGATTGGGAAGGGAGTGAGGCAGGTGACGTGACTGAGCCGGCGTCTTCTGATTGGAAAGCGGCTGCGTTGGTACCGAGAAAGAAGAAACCTCTTACCAGAAGCTTCTTTTCCAAATGGGACGAGCCTAGAATAAATGGTCGGATTGTGAGGATCGACAAGTATTGGAAGAAAGCTGTGGCCGACAAAGACATTGACATACTACCAACAGGCCCCCATCAACCCCGGTATATAGGCCCCCATCACCTCCGGTACATAATACGATGGTGATGGGGCTATAGATGCCCTTAAGATGGCGGTTGTAGAGGCTTTCGGTGTAGAGAGTTGACGATATCTTGATATTAAAGGGGGGAATTAGTTGTAAATGCGTGGAAAGGGGGGTCAAAGCGACTCGCACTCTCTTCATACCCGCTACAGGCTAGCTGTAGAGGTTTCTCTGTGACCTACTAGCCCTCACTTATTTCCTCATCAGAATAATACGGTAGTTACAAGGTGTATCCAAAGGCAGTAATCTGTTATATGAAAGTATGAAAAAGGTTGGAGGGCAGAATGATGTATCACAATGAAGTAAGTTATTGTTCTACTGTCTATTCGAAACTAATTGACTTTGATGTCGAGCCTTGATTTGCCAATTTGCTGAGGGAGTGACGAACAACGCGCTCATCACACTACTATAGGGGGCAGCCTCAACATATTCATCATGGACCATCCTCATACCCTCATCTCATGGTCTGGGAAGCTTGAAGCCGCCCCAGTTCTGTCTGGTGAAGACATCCAAAGGATCATAAGCCGCTCTCACCGTCCTCATCCTGTCAACGTTCCTCGCTGGGAATCCAAGAAATGGATTCTGAAACTCCGCAGCATCACCCATGTATATGATTCCGACGCAAGGCCCTTCGCCTGGTTCTCCGCATGCATATCGTCCAGTACTCCACGGGCAAAGTTCGTGACGCGTAGGTCACTCTCCTCCTTGTCCCACGCGGTGGATGTTTGCCAAACTGCGTCGCATGAGATTAGCGAGGTTCGATCAAGCAGCTTTTTTCCTGACTCACTTATCAAGGCCTCGTCATCATCCAAGCCCCAAACATTGCCGATGCCATTGTTCTTGGCTACGCTCATAGCGCTTGGCGCCATCGTGTTCAGAACAAGAGTGGGGATGAGACCCTCAACGTCACTGATGTCCTCAACAGCCGCTTTCCAGACCTCGTAAATACGGTAGAGCTGGTCTGCGTCGGCCTTCATAGTCTTATGGCCGAACTGAATTCTTTCACAACGAAAGATTAGCGATGAGCAGTTGCAGAACCCCGAATGTTGGATCGAAGATGCGAGTCAATCACGGACAACGTTGTCCATCGCGAAGCCATACTTGTTGGTCAGATAATGGAAACCCCCGATGAGTGAAAGTCCGGAAACTCCTATCGTCTTCATGCGACCTCCAATACTGTAAAGTCTGTATGGCGCAAGGGCTTCGTATACATCAACCCAGCGGTTACCTGGGCTAACGCTAACGGTCGAATTATCGGGACTTATCTCAATATCAGTCAAGCTGTTGAGAGCAAGCAAAACACCGCCGTCGATGTCATTGGATCCTGGGGACTGGACAAAAAGCTTCATCAGCAAATGAAAGACGAAAGGGAATGATGATAGCTAACGTTCATGTGACCTCCCGCTCGGATGGCAAATTGCGCGCCGCAGGATGCGAGGATGGAGACTCCTGAGGCGATCTGATCTGCGTCTGTTGGCATGAAGATGCATCTCGGCTCAAGTACTGCACGGATGTCGTAGAAGTCTTCAGCTTGGGTGGTGTAGCCGGTCGAATTGCTGCCCAAGAGGAGGTTCCCGAACTGCGCTGATAACTTGTTGCAAGCACAATCTGCCCCGATGCTCAAGCTGGGAAGCGATTCAAAATAATTGATGGAATTGTTGCCCGAGCTGAGAATGGAAGTGGCAGTTGCCGCTCCTGACAAATAGACAAGGAGCAAGGTGGGATGCATGATTGATGGAGGTATACGTTTCGTAAAAAGGAGCGGGAAATCTTGCAGTTATATGGGAAATGAATGCAGAGAAAAGGTTGGTCCTGAGAAAGATTGTCGGAGATGGAAGATCTTAAATAAGTTGAATCAGGAGGGCCTTGGTCGATGACAGCTAGCTGGTTATTCCTACTAGCTAACCACGTATGTAGGTAGCCATCATGGTCCGTCAAGATACATGTATTCAACAGCTGCTCGTCACATTCTACGAATGGAACATAAGACAGGACACGAGAAGCTGAACTCTGAAGACTGTGACAATCGATTTCTTCCGGGTCGGCGTAATCTCAAGGGGGCTAGGGTAAGTCAGCGCACCTGCACTGATGAATTCGGAGAGTTTCTCGTTCTCATAACTATCAAGGATGTTGATCGCATACACGTAATCGGCAATGACATCGTTGCCCGTCTGGGTCTTGTCATCGAGGGTGATGTGCTTGACGATTCCCTAATGCAAGATTAGCTCCACTATAGAGTGGTTTCCTGGTTTCCTTTACCAGAATTAGGCGGATCCATCAACAGGCCGACTCAATGTTGTACTCTTCGGATTCAATCTGTAAGTGGCTGACATTGACATGCCTTCAGATTCATATTCTAAGCCCGACAAGGATCCCCTCGACTTTTACACGGGTCCGAATGGGGCAGTGACAGGAATACGTGTATACCGGGATCTGCGGGCCACGCCGAGATTTTGAGACCCTGCATTTCTCTTATCTAATGCTAGAGTGACTTCACTTCCATAGCCAGAAATGGCCCGTGTTGTTGTCCGTCGTTGTCGTCCGTCCGTCATCGTCTTCCAACATCGTCATCCCTCGCCGCCTCTGTTGTTATTATTGTTTCACTACTTTCATCTCTACGTCCTGCAGTTCTCGATTGATATACAATTTGAACTTGATAGAAGTACATAAGAAATGTAGCCCTAGGGACATAGGCAAATTAGGACGGCTCAAATCTTTAGCACAATGGGAATAGTAGACAAGCCCGTGCAGATACGTGTATTTGGGCCGCCAATATGGAGATAGCTAGATGATCGGTATTTTGCCGTCTCGGGGGCGTCCACTTCAGTGCTGGATTTATCTTCGATATGGCCGATGGGCCCAGAATAGCCCCCGTGGAGAATATCACAAGGTGGTGCAACTTTGTTTTTACCAATGTGCTCAATTGATTTTCGAATAGGAGATCCCATTGCTGTCTTGGGGGCTCGGAATGTTACCGATGAAAAGTCTTTAAAAACGTAGCTCGCCAAAGAGCGTTTTGCGTTTGACTTGCTTTAGATCACTGCTTCGAGAACCACCGGCAACCAACATGTATCGAACTACTTTACTGACTCTGCTCTACTCCGGCCTTGCCTCCGCGGCAGCTTCCCCTGGTAAGCCAAGCGGACGAGTGGGCATGGTAAAGGCCATGTGGATTGATGCTAACTGCGGCATAGTTGACTGGGACACCGCAGTTGGGAAGGCGAATGACCTCCTGGCAGAACCTACCTTCGACGAGAAGACTGCAGTCGTCACCGGCGCGAACCCGCTGACTGGTCTTGGATGCATCGGCAGCATTGGTGCAATCCCACGACTCAACTTCTCTGGCATCTGTTACTCAGATGGATCGTCCGGCGTGAATCGCGCCGACCTTACGAGTGTCTTTCCGGCTGGCCTGACGGCCGCTGCAACCTGGGATCCGGACTTGATTTATCGGCGTGCTGTGGCCATCGGCAAAGAATTCAGAGCAAAGGGCTTGCACGCTTGCTTGGGGTAAGTTTCACCAATGAATTTTGTTCGAACGCCTCAATGCTAACGATGAGATCCAAGCCCCGTTGCTGGGCCCCTTGGACGCCATCCGCTTGGCGGTCGCGTATGGGAAGGGTTTTCACCTGACCCCTATCTGACTGGCATTGGCATGGATCGCTCCATTCGAGGCCTTCAAAGCACGGGTGTGCAGGCTATCGCGAAGCATTTCATTGGCAACGAGCAGGAGACGCAAAGAACGAACGTGACCCTCCCGGATGGCTCCAACATCGATGCCGTGTCCTCCAACATGGACGATCGCACTTTACATGAGCTGTACCTTTGGCCTTTCATAGATGCAGTTAACGCAAAGCCTGCCGCTGTCTTGTGCAGCTACAATCGGTTCAACCAGACATATACCTGCGAGCACTCGAAGCTCTTGACTGGTATCCTGCGAGAGGAGCTAGGGTTCGAGGGATACACCGTGTCTGACTGGTACGCCACACACTCAACCGCTGCCTCTATCAATGCTGGTCTAGACTTGGAGATGCCGGGCACAACCGTGCCCGGCCAGGGTGTTTCTTGATTCGGAGACCAAGTCAAGGCAGCGGTTGAGGATGGCATTGTGTCGATAGACCGGGTCGACGAGATGGTCCGTCGCATCCTGACCCAGTACTACCTTCTGGGCCAAGACGACGATAGCTTCCCAAGCCTAGATCCCTCGACCCTATCCGTCATCGCAGCACAGTATCAACAGAGCTTGGAAGACCTTGTCACCAACCCGCCTGCGAGAGACGTACGTGGAGACCACGCAAAGCTTATTCGAGAGACCGGAGCTGCGGGTGCCGTTCTTCTAAAGAACGTCAACAACACGCTGCCCCTCCCTACTCCTATCAACATGGGAGTTTTCGACAACGATGCTGGCGATCTGACTGACGGTCTCATCTATCAAGACCCGCCTGCGACGAACGTCGGGTTCGAGTACGGGGCCCTGGATATCGGTGGAGGGTCCAGCAGCGTTCGTCATGCGTAATTGGTCACTCCGCTGGACGCCATCAAGGAGCGTGCCAAAGGCATTGGTGCTCGCGTGCAGTACATCCTCAACAATGAGCGTCTCGCTGCTGGGGACTTTCACAGTATTTACCCCGTACCTGAAGTGTGTATCGTCTTTCTTAAGAGGTTCGCCGCTGAGAGATTCGACCACGTCTCTTTTGAGGCAGATTGGAACTCTACAGCAGTTGTCACGCAGGTTGCCAGTATGTGCAATAATACTGTGGTTGTAACCCACTCCGTCGGCATCAACACTATGTCATGGACTAGCCACCGCAATGTTCGCGCTATCATCGCTGCCCATCTGCCCGGAGAACAGACCGGCAACTCCCTTGCGGATGTCCTTTGGGGCGACATCAACCCGTCTGGTAGATTACCATACACCATACCAGTGACGGAAGCGGACTATGACATTCCAATCACCAATCTCACCAGTGATGAGGTGACTTCCCCTGATGCCTGAAAATCCAACTTCACTGAAGGTCTGATGACTGACTATCGACATTTCGATGCGATGGGCATCGACCCTTTGTATGAGTTTGGGTTCGGTCTCAGTTACACAACGTTTGAACTAGCGTCAAATCTTTCAGTCAAGACATTGACGGATAACATGACAGCTCTGGCTCGCGCAAACAATGGCTCATCCGTACCCCTGAGCGAACTGTTTATCCCGGTTGCAAACGCGACGATCCAAGTGTCAAACACTGGCGACCGCAGCGGCGCAACCGTTGTTCAACTCTACATGTCAATGCCCGCCGATTTTGCTCCATCTGGGACGCCTGCGAGGGTTCTTCGGGGGTTCTCGAAGATCGAACTTGGTGCAGGTGAAACCCGGGAGGTGACCTTTAAGCTGAGCCGCCGAGACTTTAGCTACTGGGATACTGCTGCTCAGACCTGGCGCGTTCCGGCGGGGAAATTCCGCCTCGAGGTCGGTTTCAGCTCTAGGAATCTGCCAAAATCGGCTGAAGTGACAATCCTGTGAGGGCACGCCTTTGCTGCCTGAAGTTACATAAATTCACCAAAGATGACGAGGAGGACGGCTGACAGCAAGGACGGACGCCGAAGTCGGACGAGTGAGAACCGTAGGGACAACGAAATATTGAATTACTGCAGTAAAAAAATGATCCCCGGATTTAGAAATCCTCTTGGAACGACAACCCATGCACGGCACCTAGCTGCGCAATTTTCAAACCACCCCGTAAGCCCTACCTCCTCAAATGTGAGACTCGGCTTCGAATCAGCCCAGGCGCAAATCCATGCAACCTTGTTGTCTCGATGAACCGATTGATGGTGGTAATGATGACCGAGGGGAAAACCCAATGGTATGGTAACGCCAACAGGGTGCAACAGAGAGCCAAAGGTCTGGATCTTCAACTGTTCCGCGCCATGGATTCCTCGGCGTGAAATATGCCCAATTATCTCTTGGCACACCAAGACACAGAATGCTTCTATTGACACAAGTCAGATACCGCCGGTTGATGGTGTGAGAGTCTGTTGACAGGGATGGATGGACCTGCATCAGGGGGTCCCCGATCTGTTGGTCTGATCCAAAGATCTCACCCCCCTTCCCGCCCTTCACCCCACAGCTAGCGTCATCCAGTCCACTGTCTCGGTGAGCGGCCGTGAACCCCACCTTCACCTTGATTTCTACCCCGCACCGCCGAAGGTGAACCGGTTTAAAAAATTTCCAACGTCGGCCGCCCGTTCACTCACGCCAAGTCTCACTCAACTGCTGCTAAAGAAGCTAAGCTTTTGAGGGCTGCGTCGTCCAGAAAGTGCCTCGTTCACATTCCTTCACCAGGCCCAGAACCCCGGATCCAGAGCTGCCCAGAGACTAGAGCGAGCGCCACGATGGACGAGCTAACGGCGTGGGCGAAATCCCACGGAGCCGCCCTCCACTCATCAGTCGAAATCTACAACGATCCAGCGACAGGAAATTCATTCCGTGTCTCCCCAGCAAGTGCCGGTGTCAAACCCGGCGATACCGTCGTCACCTGCCCCCTGGGTCTCACGCTATCTTATCTCAACGCCACCACCACACCCAGCCCAGGCTTCCATCACCAAGACACACCTCCCTTCCCACCATCATTCCTCGAGAGCGTCCCTCCACACGTCATTGGTCGCTTCTTCCTCATCAACCAGTACCTTCTTGGCAAGGACTCGTTCTGGTACCCTTACATCAGGACCCTGCCACAACCAGAACACCTTCAGTCTTGGGCACTGCCCCCGCTCTGGCCATCCGACGACATTGAGCTGCTGGAAGACACCAACATCCATGTTGCCATCACCGAAATCAAGGCGCGCCTGAAGTCGGAATACAAACAAGCTATCGCTGCCTTCGGCGAAGACTCCGTCCGCAAAGATTACACACGCCTCCTCTACAACTGGGCCTACTGCATTTTCACCAGTCGGAGTTTCCGCCCGTCCCTGGTCATCCCCGCTAGTCGACAGCACACCCTCTCCCTCCCAGAAGGCTGCGCCATCGACGACTTCTCCCTTCTCCTCCCTCTCTTCGACGTCGGAAACCACTCGACGTTGGCCAATATCTCCTGGGACCACCCGGAAGATGCCGTCGACACCTGCGCGCTGCGAACCCTAGACACCTACGGCCCCGGCGACCAGGTGTACAACAACTACGGCACCAACAAGACGAACGCCGAACTGATGCTGGCCTACGGCTTTCGGATACCCGAATCAGAGGGTCTGCATAACGACTATGTCCACGTCCAGAAGCGAGGCGCCGCACCCTCGACGGAGGTCGGTGCTGGGTCGGCGACACAGCCCAGGGACTATCTCATCTCCCTGCGGTCGGTGGCGCACCCGAGCTCTGTGGCTGCGCGGTTCGTGCAGCTGGTGCCTGACGTCGACGCTGAGAAGATCTTGCCTGCGTTCAGGCATGTGCAGGACACCATGATCTGGGACCTCATTCTGGCGCAGACGACGGAGGAGCACCGGGATGAGCTGCTGCCGGTGCCGGATGGCGTCGAGGGCGCTGCGGTGAATCAAGAGCGACTAAGAATGGTTCTGACGGGCCGGGTTCCAGAGCATTCGGCGCCGTTGTTGGAGCAGACTGTGGCCATTATTCAGAATAAGGTTTTCCAGGAGCTGGAACGACTCGATCAGTCTGAGTTTGAGCTGGACGAGTCCGAGGCGACGAGAAATCAGCTTATGGCGTGTGAATACCGGAAGCAGTGCAGGAAAGTTCTCATGAACGTTCTCGAGTCAATGGGGATGACTGAAGAGTCAGCATGAAGTTGTCGCCAGGGTTACGACTAAGGATTAGAGGCTCATACGATTTCCCTAAGGGCAAAAGCCTCTTATAAAGTACGGATACCATGAGCATGAAGTCAAACTAAACATGGGCAAACGGCCCATACGCTTTCACATGGACTCGAAAAGAAACGACCTGAATGAATCTCGCCATGAATTCGTGAGCATACTCATACAGTTACGTGGTCAAATTTCATCAAGAGCTCCTCTGCTGCTGATTATTGAACATCGAACCATTGGATGAGTTTGCGCTGTTGATAAAATCTCTGAGCAGCTGCAACACAGAGTGATATCCAGCTTGCTTGACAGGCGGCAGCGGGTGGTTGAGAAAGAAAGTCCATGAGATAGATCTCAACTTCTAACATATTCAAAAAGAGTGAGCTGCATGGAAATCAGTCGAAGCCTTACTGGGGTAAGCATTCAAGCCGCCTTGAGATGTTTGTCAGACCAACGTAGACATGTAAGCGGCCGAGACGATTGCCCTTCATTCGGAGCCGCCGTCATGTTCGGACCCGATACTTGCCGAATAAACGAATTAAACCCATTTTAAACTCGAATATAAGAGAAAAAACACACACACAACGACGCTTAATTACACCAGTGATCCAGGCCTTCTCCTCAAGCTCCCGCTCATCCGGCGGTGCCAACCAATGTGGATCCCCCGCGTTTCCGCTTTGGGGTCGGGGATGCCCTCCCTCCGCGCACCCGCATAAACACCACGCTACCCAACCCACTCCGCCATCTCGCCAGCAACCCACAACCCAGCTTCCCCTCGCTCCTCTGGCAGTTCATCCCATTCCCAACCGATCCACGGACCCGGGTTCTACGGTCTAATCAGGCGCGACAGGCTGCGCTTCCGTGCTGCCCCTGATCTTTTCCGCCAATGGGCCGGCGGCAACGGCGAGGCGGGGGTGACAGCTGACGATCCCGGTTTGGGAATGGCTTCGGAGACGCGGTGCCGGCTATGGACGGTCAATGAGATGAGGCGATGGGAAGATATAAAGCCGGTGGGATGAACGCTTGATTTTCTTTTTTAAACCTAGCCTTTGGATTGCCAAGCCAGAGTTTTCCGTTCTCTCGTCTTCAGAGTTCCTCAAGATGGCTCGTCTCACGGCTTCGATTCTTGTTGCGGCCGGTCTTGCTGGCGCTGCCAACGCGCAGGCTGCGGTGTGGGGGCAGTGTGGAGGGACGGGGTGGACGGGGGCGACGAGCTGTGCTGCGGGGGCTTATTGCTCTTCGCAGAACCCTTGGTACTGTGAGTTGATATTTTTCACCGAATTCAAGATTTGATACTCATGGAGTCAGTTCAATGTGTCCCCGGCACCGCAGCCGCGGCAACTTCAACCGCCGTCAGCGTCCCAGCGTCGACCACGGCCCGAACCACGACGACCACCGTCCGGACCTCCTCGTCCGCCGCCGCGACGGCTACGGCCACTAGCTCGCCGTCCGGAGTTAAGTACTTCATCACCTTGTAAGTCTCCCCACCACTACATCTAATGAGAAGTCACCAACACCTCACCCAGCGGCGACTCCTACTCCCAAACAGGCTTCAACATCAACTCCACGAAGCCCAACCCGCAGAACCCCCTCGGCAACCCCGACCTCCCGGGCTGGACCGCCTCGGGCGGCCTCGACTGGGTCGGCTTCATGGTGACGCAATTCAACGCCAGCCTGGTCTACAGCTACAACCTCGCCTACGGCGGGGCCACCACCGACGCGACGCTCATCGCGCCGTACGCGAGCACCGTGCTGAGCTTCATCGACCAGGTGACCGAGTTCTCGCGCAGCCTGGCGTCGAAGCCGAGCTGGGCGCCCTGGACGGCGGACAACACCCTTGCCGGGGTCTGGATGGGCGTGAATGATGTCGGGAACGCTTTCTGGCTGAGTAACCGGGAGACGCTCTTGGTTCAGGTCCTGGGCAAGTACTTTGATCAGCTGCAGATCTTGTACAACGCCGGAGTAAGGAAGTTTGTGCTGCTGGGTGTACCTCGTGAGTTTTATTCCATCCAATATTCTTCATGTCATGCCCCTGACATGTGATAGCCACGCAAAAGACGCCTCTGATGCTCGCCAACGGCGCCGACTCGAATGCGCAGCTTGCGGCGGCGATTAAGCAGTACAACGACCTCATCAACAGCAACCTCGCCGCTTTCAAGGCCAAGAACTCGGGAGTGACATCCTGGGTTGTCGATACCACTGCAGCTTTCGACAAGGCGATTAACAACCCGACCGCGTATGGCGCCCCTGACGCTACTTGTTACAATGCCGATGGCGTCAGCTGCCTATGGTTCAATGACTACCACCCTGGCGTGGCCATCCAGAAACTTGTGGCACAGGCTGTTGCTCAGGCTGTTGGTGCACCGTTCTTCAAGGGTAAGTTCACATTCCACCACTGGGGCGAAGTGACTGACGACGTGCAGTATAGGAGGCAAGCTTGGTGCGTCGACATCTTGAGATTTCAATTCAAAGGGTCTCACATTGGGAGGGACTTGGCTCAGCAGACGAATAAAATATGAAATGAATTCCTTCAAGTTACGTTGCAATGATATCATGTCTTCTTTTACGCATGCGAGCTTTCCGTATGACACCTTTGCCATCACATTACATCCTCCTACTTTGCGTGAATTCATCATAACAACTTCCCTCACGCGTTCCTGATAATATCATCGCTCACAAACACAATCCGATCCCCGCCAACGCGCGCCTTCCCCCATGCCGACTCGACATCCTTGAACGCCTCCACCGCAACACCCTTCCTCTCCAATTTCGCCGCAATTTCAACCATGCCCCCAAGCTCCTTCGCATATTCCTCCATCGTCCAGCTACCAGGCCCTGCACCCCTCAACGCGACCCTCTTGCCCCTCAGAATCGCCCCGGGCAGCATCATCGTCTCATCCCGCGAGACAGAGCCGATGTGAATGTACTGAACCTCCCTCTCCGACTTGGGCAGCGCCTTCAGCAACCCCGCCGCCGCGTCGCCGTACACGTAGTCCAAAACGACATCAACCTCGCCCAGCTTAGACCAGTCCGTCTCGGGCTTAAGCACAATCCTCTCGTCGAGCGGCATCTCGGCGAGCGCGGCCTCGTTTCTGGCGATCCCAATTACCCTGCCCGCGCCCTTTGACCTCACAACGTCGACAGCTACCCGTCCGCTGGCGCTCGTCGCTCCGAGGATGACAACGGTGAAGCCCGGCTTTTGAGGCGCCGCGCGCGCGGAGAGGGCCATCCAGCTGCTCATGATCGGGTTCATGAACGCGGCGGCCGTGACCGGGTCTGCGTTGTCAGGCAACTTGGCGACGAAGTGTCGCTCGACGTTGACGAATTCTGAGAAAGAGCCGGATTGCAGGGAGGCGAAGTAGTACCGCTGGCCGGTGGTCGGGTCTTCGCCGACGCCGTCGACGCCGGGGTGGTGGGGGAGGGTGGTGGAAGTGTAGTGCTTCCCGGAGGCGCGGGAGAGGACGAGGCGGTGGATGCCGGCTGCGAGGACGCGGAGGCGGATCTGGGATTGTGAGGGTGCTGGGAGGTCTGGGACTGTGGTGTAGGTTGGGGGAGAGCCCCAGGCGTTGACGATGGCGGCGTGCATGTTTGGTATGTGGACTGTATGGTAGTGATGTGGTGTGAAGATGTTGCGTGAATGGGAGATGAAGAGGGACAGGAGGTGAGAGACTCTGGTGTTCATTGTCGTTGAAACGTGTGGCATTCTTGAGATGGCTCTTATATACAAACTATGCACAGCAAACATGGACCACATTCATTAACCGCCTCCACTACTGGGTGCGCGATGAGTAAGTGGTCTTACTGGAATGCAGCAGACAGGCACATTGTGGCTGCGAGACGCTGAGTGTGCGTGCATACGAATACATAACGTGCTGTACGTGAAATGGAAGCCCGCGCGGTCGGCGTTATTCCAAACCGCCGGAGAGCCGCGCGCGGCGCCCAAGACGGAATGGTTCTCGCGCTCGCGGCGATGCGGGCGGTTGGCGGCTGAACCAAGCTTTCCGATTACATGCTGACTATTTCCCACATTGGGCAAGTTTCCTCACCACGCATCTAATGATGACATTCGCCGTGCTGGGCATGGTTTGTAGAGGCACATGCTGACTACTCCATGTTGTGGCGAGCTGCTTGTTCTTCGGTAGGGCTGACGGGCAGGCGCGCGCGACACAATAGGCTAGGCGCCAGCGGGACTTTGAAATCGCCGTCGGCGGTTATGTGACTAGCTTCGACGAGGACTCTTTTTCGTTGAGTCACACGTGGAGTTAGTGAGGTCCAGCGGGAATCAAGCCATCGGAAGTCGGCATGAGGACCTGATGTGTCTGGGCCCTCCACCATCAACGGTCCGCGGATCAACCGTGGAGGTCATGGTCGATGCCCTCCGTAGGTAGTATTACGTCGTCACTCAGCTTGTAATCGCCCTGCATGCCGCCCTCCATGATTGCTCGAATCAGTCGTAGCCTTCCGCGTTGTCGTCCTTACCCTCTTCCACCATCTGGGGCATCAGCTGCTCGTACTTGTAATCAAAGAGCTCTTTATTTGTTGCCTGACGGAGGTGATCCGACACACGAGAAATGGATGGCTGCTCAGCAGAGCGGGTAATGGCGGCCTTAATCGCTTCGCCTAACAAGACATCGTTGTCCTGACTGGAGACATACGTGCACACGTGCCGGTTAGGCTCCGCCAGCAGTCCCTTTTCCGCCATATTCTCCCGCAAGAAAGCGACAAAGTTCTGCACTTCCCAATCCAACTTGTAATAATTGATGGCAAACTCGTTCTGCGTGATTGACTCGACAGTCTGGTCCAGGATCTCCAGAATCTCAACATGGCGCATGTTGCCGACACGCTGAATGCGTCGCAGCATGTCCTGCGTCTTGTTCTGCTTCTTCTCTTCACCGGTCGCTTCCTCCGGCTGCGCGAACTCTTGCGGGATGCCGAAAGGGCTGACTTTGGAGTCGACGGGCAAGCCGAGGTGATGGCGAACGATATGAGCGATGTATTCCATGTCTTCACGCTCCTTGTTATTGACTGCGGCGTAGCGCTCATGGAATCTAATAACGCGATCGATCTTCTTGACGAGGTCTCCCCAGATACTGAACCGTTTGCTGTTAGACATGGTTGAGTGCTTGACGAGCACATCGGCAGCTTTGAGATCGTCCGCCGCGGGGGTGTTGAAACCCAAGAGATCGGTCCCGTGGAGAGCCAGGAACTTGTCAAATTCTGGCCAGGAGGGCATACCAGGATAGTCTCGCTTGGCGACGGTGTACAACACACCACTCCACAAGGGCTCAGGCGTTCGGGTCAGAAGACGGATGCTCAGGACCATGCTCTGTAGTTTGGTTCTGAAATCGAGCAACGCTGGCCAAACAGGCTCGTTACGGAACAACTCCCACGGTGGTAATGGCTCATCAATGCCGTGCATTTTTGCCCTTCGTGTCTTGCCATTCAAGGTGAAGTCCTTAAAAATATAACGGTCCATGATTTGGCTGTCGCGCTTCACTTCGTTTTTCCAATCCGATGTGAATACGGCGTCACACGTATAGAGTGAAGTTTTCATGTACTCAGTGACAGCCATGCCCGTCTTTTGCAGCTCTATCAATGCATCTTCCACATTGTCTTCGATGATATTGCGGATGTCGAGGTAAAGCTGTAGGGAGAAGATGAAGTAAGATGGATAGTAACCCATCTTAAGAGTCGTCTCGAAACCGAGCTCCATCTCCGGTTGTCCGGGTATGACAGGGGGTTGCTGCAGGCTTTTCTTCAGCGCCTTCACCTGCTCGATCTCCAGTAAAAGGTTCACGAAGCACAAGCCATTGAACGTCGCAAAGTCAACAGAAGTGATGGCGCCATACTCAGGTTGTGGGCGAGCTGAAGGGGGAATCACTGGAAGATTCTCTAGAGGCATGGTTTCCAGAAACTTTCTGACGCACATGTATGTGGAGTATGCTAGCCAGTCAGCCTCCTCGCGCCAGACCTTTTCGTGCCGCTCATCTTTCGACTCTGGGTCGTTGTAGTCAACATGATCGATGCCGTACTCGAAGAAGAGTAACTCCATCATCGCTTCATACGAGAGAAAATGATCGTCAAGGACGTCGCACAGCTCGATTTCCATGTTGCGAAAGAGCTCGGTGGCGGCGTTGGTGATGACAGCCAGAGTATTGAGCGAGACGGACTTGTCGTAGAAGTAATCGGCCCAGCGCTCGGCGACATAGTTGCGGATGTTGTTGAAATCCACGAAGAAGCAGTAAATGATCATGTAGAAGTCGAAATCATGCTCATCTTCGTCAAAGTCCCTGTCCGCCGAGAAGTCGTCGACCCAGCTGCTGTCCCCGGCCCTGTTGGACTTCTTCGCATTGCCGTTTTTATTGGAGACCTTCTTGCCCTTCCTGCCGCCTTTGCCTTTCTTTGCGACTTTCTTCGCCGCCTTGCGGCCCGAGTTGCGACTTGGAGCCTTCGCTTTTGGCTCTTCGTCTTCTTCCTCAGATTCAGACTCGGACTCGGATTGCTTGGGATCCCTCTTTACCTCCTGGGATGCCTTCGGTTTTGGCGTCTTTGCAGGCTTGTTTGGCTTCTGTAATTGGAGAAGGTTGAACATATTGTCCAACAGGTCCATGTCTAGACGTTCGCCAGCCCGCTGAGGCTCCTCCTTGTGCTTGGGTCGCGCCCCCGAAACAGCCGACTCGAGGACTTTGAGTACCTTCTCCAGCACCTTGATGATATGCTCGTGCTGCTGATTGCTGATCTTCAACTTTCCAGTCTTGTCCTCTTCGGCTTTCTTGGAGTGGAACCGGGCGCTCTTCTTCCTCAGTGCAACCACATCGCGCAAGATCAGGATTGGGTCCCATGGGATCTCCTCAGGTTTGCTGTTGATGACGATCGTCTCCGCCATATGTTCCAGCTCGCTCCAGTGCACCTTTTCGGAAGCCGAGTCCTGCTCAGGCTTCCTCATGCTGGTGGCCGAGCCATTGCTTTCGCCTGCGTCCGGTAGTGTCGGGCTCGGCGTAAATTTGCTGGCAGTTTGCTTCAGCCAGTCGGTGACCCGCGCCTGGCCGAGCTTGTAGCGCTTCCAGGTGCTGAGAGACTGGAGCTTTCCGTCCATCTTCGCTTGTGCTGGGGAATCTGGTGCACTGAAAAGCGGAAAGAGGGGAAATGCCGTGGATCTTTGAGGTGATGTCACAATGTTCACTTCGTGTGTAGTGGGGCAGGCGCGAATCGAACGCGTCTCCACTGAGGGTGTTGACTTGCCCCTCACCGAAGCGACGGCCTCGGTGAGTATCGGTGAGAGCCGATACTTTCAAACCGCATGCCTTATTTCATCATTATATCTCCGTTTCTCGTCATCACTTTCTGGACTTTGCTATGTTTCAAATGACTAATAGTAGGTAATGTTTGCTCTTTGACTCGACTTATTGATTGTGACTAACTACTAGGTGCATAGAAGGTACTGGTGTCCTGCTTGCCAACTGCCCACTGCCCACTGCGTCTTGCGTCTCTCGCATGATCTTCCACGTGCCGACTCCAACTTTCTAATCAAGCTCTCATTTTCAGCGTTCATGACTTCCATGGAAAGCTGGAACTCCATCAAGAATCGTAAGAGTCAGAAGTGTAGGCATCGCTAGAGTGCCTGCCGCAGTTGTTGCAGTACCCGCGCGACACTGTGCCGGCGGCGAGGTTGTTGGTGCCTCCGCAGCTTCCCGTCTCGCGGCGCTTGCTGCACGTTCTTCTTGAGGTGATGCGAGTGTGGTGGACTCGGCCACACTTCATGCACTTATATTTGACGTTTCTTCTGTAGCACATGGCGAGCACCGTTGATCGGTGGTTGTGTTGTTTGGTGTTTGGGCAATGTGTGCGTGATGCTAATCTTTCTTTTGGCTGAGCTTGATTGCAATTTGTATGCGATAGTGTGTTTGTTCTTCTGTGTTGTTCTGTGAGAGGAAAGAGAAGGCTATCTACCGGGCAGATCTCGACATTTTTATTTGACAGTTCTTCCTGGATCGTGACATGAAATCTTTCGAAGTATGCAGTGACTAGACGTGCAATCGGCGAGTTCATCACGACTTTTGCCTTCCGGGAGACGAGTCAACGTCTTCGCGCACTGATTCATGGTCTATGGCTAGCTCGATCAGGATGTTAGCGACCATGATCACGACCGCGACTTGACTTATTCAGACGATTTTCGAGCACATGCACTAGGAACCCAAATACTCAGACCATCTCTGCCGTGGTTACCATGGCTTTAGGCCTGAGAAACATCTTCACGTTTTGTGTTCGGCCCCCAGACAAAACCCTTCTAAGGGAAGCATAGCTCAATTGTTCGGAGGTCCATTGAAAATCGTCTTCAGATATGTTGATGTCCATTTTGTCTACTCAAACTACCAGGTCAAGGCCTCGCAGGGGCCCAAATCAGTTTACATGCACTCATTAGAGTTTGGCAGTCGCCCGGGACTCGTAAGTAGCTCTCTCTTTCCCACTTAGCTCTCGTCTTGCTGGTCCTCCACGACTGCCGTCGCCCAAGAACGCGTCTTTCTGGTTCTGATAATCCTTGCGGAAACGCCATTTGTGAGCCAACGACTGTGGCAGCTCGCCTCTCACAGCCTTTGCAAGGTACTCACCCAAGACAGGCAGGAATTTGAAGGCACTGCGATCAAAGTGGTGAGATACTGGTCCAAATCTCGACAGGGTGCATCAACTTACTGGCCGCATCCAGCCCCGCCAATGAAGAGGTTCGTGTAGTCGGGATGGTTGTCCATGATAAAATCCCCTGTTGGCGTATCCGTGTACCAGCACATAGCGACTTTGCTGAATGGTCGATCTGCCAGCTCAGGGACTATCTCTCGAAGTCCTGCTCGCATCCTGTCCTCCCCATCTGCCGGGGCAAAATCTGGTCGCTCCTTTGATACAAGTGGAGGAGATGAAGCGTTCGGAGTCAGCTTTCGGTCGTCGTCGCCTGGTGCTCGCGTATATCCCCAGCCGTGGACCGCCATCTTCAACGTTTTGGTATCCTCGTGTGGAGGGAAATTGAACCAGCCAGTCGTGTAGTTGATGTAAATGGGAAGGTCACGGTACTTGACCATCTCCTCATCTGTCAATGGAAGATAAGCCAAGACCTGAGCCGTGGAAAGAGTCGAGTTGTACATAGGTACAAGTCCAGAGCCCCAAGCGCCGGCAGTCAAGATGAAGCGATCGCCTTCGACCGACGACTGAGTTCCGGCAAGAGTGCGGACGGCGATGATGGTGTTGTGAGCGTCAGTCTCAAATCCCACCGCTGTCCCTGCCGGGCCGCAAATGAAAGAGATCCCCAGCTCAAGACATTCATCACGAAGTTGAGTAATAGCCTTAATTGCATCAGCCCAGCCGGCTTGGTTGTGGTGATATGCAGAGAAATTGGGCCCTGTAAGGGTACCCGTCAGAGTTGGGTAGATGCTTCTGGCAGTCTCAGCGTCCTTGAGAATCGACCATGGCAACTGATGCTTCGTCAACTGAGCAGTGGTCTTATCCATCCATGACTCATCTCCAGGCTTTGGCGAGCCTGCCAAGATGTAGTTGGTTTGATAGAAGATGCCCTTGTACTTGGGGTCATCACGCCACCTGAGGTAAGCTTCGCGGGCAATGCGGTGATAGTCTTCATCTGCGTAGTCGAATCTCACAACGCGGGAGATGTCAGTGCTAGAGCCATCCGGGACCTTTCATAGTTAGTAGAACTCATCAATGGAGATGTCAAACTCTTACGGGCGGCATTCGTCGATCAAGCACCTTGATGTTTTTGCAGCCATCCAAGGCTAGTTGGCGGGCGACGGATAAGCCAAATAACCCCGCGCCGATAATGACGATTTGGGCGTTCTTATCCATGCTTCAGTGTTGGCGTTGGTGCGGTTGTCAGAAACTCTTTGATGAAGTCTTCATCTGTGCGTGTTCTCATGCCGAGATACGGTGTTCATGGCTTAAAGTAGGCGAACTCCTTCGGTCTCAATTAGGTATAATACCGAAGTCCCACAGGCATCGGCCCTCACGAGCCGATTACGGGGCCGGTTCCCCGCACCGAGTGCTCCCAGATGGCGGACATCCGTTCACGTGACCGGAAGATGCTGCGCAAGAGAAGCGTCCTACGTCGTGGAAGTGACGGTTACACAAGCTGAGTTGATAGAACCCAAATAATAGAAAACCTCATAAAAGAGCTGGTTGTCAAAGTCCAAGTATTCCACAGCTACGTCTCCTTTCAAGTTGAGATACAATGGAATGGCCTCTGCGCAACCTGTTCTCCATACAACGACCATCAAGTTCAATCCCAGTATGGGGCGCTTCAATTTCCAAGCTCGGTAATTAGATGTCTAAGAATCGTATTATAACCAGGTAAGTTGGTCGAAAATGGCGCACTTGTCACCTTCAAAGTCATTAATCGGGATGACAGATTCTGACAACCACGTTGCACGAGCATCTTGGCGGTGAGCAAGGCATTGCTGGCTAATTATTCAAGACGATATTGAATGTCAACTTCCATCCGGAATTGGACAACACAAAACTTGCTGTAAGGGAAGAAAGGTTGTTTGGGGGCTGACAGTGGGCACGGAGGTCTTCCGTCTCCAGTTCGCCACTGATCCACTAAGGTATGCTGAGGTTCAACGCCCAGTCGCACCCGTACCCACTGCCGTGGGGCACGATTCACAAGAATCCGGGGTAACGATGGCACAGGGCTGGCGACAACAATTTGTATCACCCATTTATCACTTGGGCGGCCACAGAAGTGATATCGGACAAATAACATCTGGGCTCGGTCAAAACACAGAATACGCATCGAGAAACGAGCCAAAGGTTGAGACCGATGAAGGCTAGACCAGTAAAGACCACCCACACTCATGCTTCGATGTGCCACTGGAGTTCCTTCTACTAAGTCGCTGTTGCTGGAAAGACAGTCCCAGGCATTTTATCCCAGGCTTCCCTGAAAAAGCGTTGTTTCCAAAATAAATAACCACGAACTTTGGGTTATCTGATGGCACAATGGATATATATGCCAAATCGGCGTCAACAAGCGGTTTCCCGCTGGCTGCCGCTCAACCCGCCTTTGGCTCGCTAACTGAAGATTTCCCCGCAGCACCCAGCAGCTTGTTGCCTCATTAATTATCAGCGCTTCGCTTCGCAGCCCAGCAGCGTAATTTCCAGCCAAGTTTGGTGCTGAAAAACGAGAACTAGAAGCTTTTGTGCTAGCTGTATTGAAGAAATGTCTACACCTGAAGATCTTGTAAAGCTGGATGACTTCCAAAACATCTTCTCGCTCAAAGGGAAGGTTGCCGTCATCTCTGGCGGGTCGCGCGGATTAGGTCTTCACACAGCAAGCGGGTAAGTTCAGGATTACACAATTCCATCTGCCACTGCCAGTGATCGTCGCTAATTGGCTTCGCAGCTTTCTGCAGGCAGGATGTTCTCGCGTTTACATCGTCGCACGCAGCGAGGGGCCCTTGAACGATGCCGCGAAAGCCCTCAATGCCCTCCCCAACAAAGGCCCTGACGCCCGGGCAATTGCGATTGTTGCGGACATATCAAGTCAAGCAGGATGCACACAGATGGCCGCCGAAATTAGCAAAACCACAGATCATGTCGACATTTTGGTTGCTAACGCCGGTGCAACTTTCATTGGGCACATGAACGATTACAAAGAAGATGATTTCGACCGGGTCATGAAAATGAACGTCAGCAGCATCTTTTTCTCGGCTCAAAAGTATGTCACTGCAAAACTTCACGTTCTGTATGGAGATTAACAGCTTTCATAAATTGTCTCCGTTACTCCAGGCCGCAGGCACAGTCCAGGATCCATCTCGGATTATCATGGTGTCTTCGGTGGCGGGCGTCGTTGTTGAGGACATGGGTGAGCACGGAAGTAAGTCATATGAATCTCATCATCTTTTCAGTGCCAGTACTAAAGTCTGAACAGCATATGCATACGCCGCCTCCAAGGCGGCTGTCATTCATCTCATGAAAAATCTCGTCGTGGAACTTGGGCCGAAACATATCACGGTGAACGTAGTTGCGCCTGAAATGGTTCCGAGCCAAATGAGTGCGCCGCTGATGAATCGGCATGGCGGTATTGAAAGCGTCTCAAAGCAGGTGCCGGACCAGAAGCTAGGCAGTCCCGAAGATGTCGCTGGTGTGATGGTTTTCCTCTCTTCAAGGGCTAGCAAGCACATCAATGGGGCAACCATTGTGTTAGATGGCGGAAGCTATTTGGTTCGAGGTTGTGCCTAGTCATGCATTCGACAACATCCGCCTAAGGGTAGAACTTTTGCATATACACCAAAGAACGACAATCATAGACTCAGAATATGGTTCCATATACTCTTGGTAGTCGCAAGTGCTATGATTTGCGAGGTTTGGTTATTTCCTAGGACCAGACTGCGGCGATTTCAGTTGTTGACCATCGAATACCTTGGACAACTCCGCAAGATCTCTTGCGTTCATGCCTTGTTGATGGTTCTGCTCTATGGTGGGTGAGCGGGCTCTGAGCGGGAAACCGCTGCTACCGCAGTTCCCCTCACCCGCCGCCTATGCATTCCAAGCCGGATCAGGTAAGACGTCACCTGGGCTGAGCCCGAGACCGACCAAGGTCAAGGGTAGCCCTTGAAGTAATATCAACCCCACGGGGAAATCATCCAAGGTCTCCATACGCGTGGCTGTGGAGTTTACCCCAGGTTTTCGAGGCCTTGGAGTTAGCACCGAACGAAGTTAGCTAGACTCGTCATAGTCATTTCGAAGGAGACCCAAAGCCAATCATACATAAACTCTTGAACGCGGTTCAAATCGTTGATCATGTAGATTTTTTGAAGTTTACTCTGCTCTTGATACACACAGTTCTGCAAATCTCACGTATCACTCACTTTATCCAACTCCAAGATGGGCGGCGGTGCAGTAGCTTGCGGTGCTTCGGGATCCGAGTCGAATTACAAATCAGTTCGAAATAATGCCAACAGCAAGTGGTGGCTGGATGCAGGTGAGGCGATCCGTCTTCCTGAGGTGACATAGAAGTGCTGATCTGTCAGGACTGCGGAAGAACGTGTTCCACTGCGTCGGTCTTTGCGGCACACTCTTCTTCAATGGCTGTAAGAACGACGCTCATTACTCTCTCAGATTTCATGCAGCGAAGTCGCATTCCAACTAACGATATTTCAAAGATGACGGAAGTCTATTCAATGGTCTTCAGACGACATGAATTCGGCTGCGTTGTTTCCTGGGTTGATATCTCCGTACTTCGCTGAGTTGATTGCCAATCGATTTGGAAGAAGATGGGTCGTTTGGATTGTTGTTCTGATCAATGTGAGTTTTATAACCTGCCACTCCTCCCAATACTGATGCGTTGATCGGTGCAGATTGCTGACGCTGTAGTTAACGAAACGCTGACTGCTTTCCCCACCAGTAATACTCTCCACCTCAGCATACTTGGAATCTGCAAATGGCAAGGCCCACCCGCCTTCCTCCTCTGAGGTGGCAAGCCACAGTCGCTGTAACCATCGCTTCTTAGTGACATCATTGTCGTCTTTATATGCCGATCGCGCATGCAGGTTGTGCGTGTTCATAACGAACTGCATATCGCCCTGCAGAGTCATCTCCAGCGAAAGCCGATGACACATCTCTTCCATCACCTTGATAGCCTCTTGCTGCGCGTCACTGTACTTTAGCAGTAAGCCTGCCTCCCAGAATCTCTGCAGTGCTCCCACATAGTACGAGTCCCACTTCATACTCAGCTTGCCCTTGTAGTAGTAAAATCCCGGCGTGCGCATCCACTCGTTCTCTCCTTCGCTCGTCTCGCCTTTTCGATCGTAGAACCAATGTGGCAAACACAATTGCCGAAGAACGTCTGGTCGCTCCTTCAGTAGGGTGGTGCGTAGAGACGACCTGCGACTGACCACCCTCCATAGCCTTGTGCAAGCAGAGCAGCCCGACGATATCACTCTCATCAGAATGGTAGGTCTGCGCCTTCTGAGTTCGATAAATCCTTCTCTCGCCATCGATCTCTTTCCCCTCGGCCAGATCTTTGATGTGCCCCAGCATGTGGCCTTGGCGGTTCTGGCTCAGGCGACGTCCGATGTAGGAGCCCAAGCCAAGGTACGCGATCGAGGCTTGTCTAGTAGTCCAACTGTCTACGGGAAGACCTCTCGGCACGACGAAGCCAATGCCATTGACGAGCTCATCTCTGACTGACGCGATAGTACAGGCAAACGACGTGGGAAGGATGAACGTCGACTTGTCGACTTCGGAAAGTTGCAAGTTATTATTTCCGATGTCATGAACAGCCCTTTCAATGTGAATGACTTCGTCAGGTACGAAAACTCGGAGCCAGCGACGGATATCAGCTTCCAGATCTTCCTTCGTCCATACAGTGCGGCCGACTATAGCCTCTGGCATAGACTCGTAGGGCTCTAGAAGGTCGTACTCCGACTCTCGCTGCCCGGAGCTGAGTCCGAGTCCATGGCCCCCAGTTTGGAGTGCCGTGATCTTTGGGTCTGCTGTAATCGTCGACATATTTGGAGGTTTATAAATTTCAGGAATTGGCGAAAACTATTGAGGATAGCAATTGAGGGGCAGATGATGATCTTCCAGGTAGTTGGTATTGGCGCTCACAGAAAAGCTGACATGGAGTGAAGTTTGTAGATCCGAAGAGAACGCATCCTTTTGTATCCGAGTGTGAAAATACTATTCCATAGCCCTCGGAACAGCTTCAGATGTCTGTCTGATACGCTGCCCATCCTCCTTGTCCTTGACTTCTTTCTTGGTTGGCTTCAACGTACGGGAGCCCTTTCGACACAACCTGTACGCCTTCTTGATTCGAATGCTGGTTTTCCTTGCAAACTTCGCATTGTCTTTCCTCGGAGGAAGACCGGGGGGGGGGGGGGGGGGGGGGGGGGGGGGGGGGGGGGGAAAACNGGGGGGGGGGGGGGGGGGGGGGGGGGGGGGGGGGGGTAGTCGGAGTCGATGTGTCGGAGCAATCACGTCGCTTCATCTCCTATCATGTCGGTGCGATAAGGCAGCGCCCGCAACATCTTCCCGAGGAAGGAGACTCCGAAGACCCACTATGGCGCCAACGCCACCCCTGACAGCATCATTCGCAATATCTAAAGAAAACTGGTCATCGGAATCTCTTACTCTGATGAATATCTGTGTGTATTGCCTCTGTTGTCAACTTTGGGGGTTGAAAACAGCCGAGGATTGATGCAGTAGGAATACAGCTGGGAGAAAAGCCATGGTTCGCTTGGCTATAAGGTAGCGAACGGCCTTCTTCGGTGTACATAAAAGCAGCAAGCGCAAAAGTTGGCAAGAAAATTTCAAAAGAAAAGGGGCTCCAAATTCAGGTTGTACATCTTCATAAGCTTCTAAGACCAGATCATGTCATCCAATACCATTATAACGGCAGTTTTGAGGCTTCAAACACCGAGAGGTGACAGTGATGGTTCCGCCCAGAATTCTTCCCGTCCTCGGGTCTTGGACACGCACATGGACGGACTCTCAACCGCTGATGGCTCAGGGGCCACCATCGGGAGAAGCGCTCTCATAGCAGGTATTCCGAAATTCACAGGCCCTTATCAGGAACGTAAATGGGTTCTGGAACGGATGGCTGGAGATTTCCGAGTGGTTGCAAGAAAGGGCTACCTCGAGGGCACTGCTGGCCATATTTCAGTCCACGATCGAGTTGACCCTGATACATTCTGGATAAACCCGTAAGTCACTTATCCCGCCCAAATCTCCTTTCCGCTCATGCCTGTTTGCGACTCATGAAAGCCTAGCCCGCCACTTTGGTCTCATGAGGGTGAGCGACTTGGTGCAGGTGAACATGAATGGAGAGATCATAGGTGGCAATCATGTGAGTTTGGGAACATGTCCAATTTCACTGTACTCATACTAAATCAACGAGGCTTGCATCAACAACGCCGGTTTCAATATTCACTCAGCTTTACACCACGCCCGTCCCGATGTCGACGCAGCGTGTCATTTCCACAGCATTCACGGAAAAGCTTGGGCGTCCTTCGGACGACCACTCGAGATGCTCAACCAAGATGCTTGCACCTTCTACAATGATCATGCCGTCCATGACATGTTTGGTGGTATTGCGTTTGAGGCGTCGGAGGGGGAGCGGATCGCGGCAGCTTTGGGACCCAACAGGTGCGCGATATTGAAGAACCACGGCCTTCTAACAACGGGAAAGACTGTCGATGAGGCTGCATTTCTCTACACTCTGATGGAGAACTCGTGCCGCGTCCAGCTTCTTGCGCAAGCAGCTGCTGCTTCTGGTATTCAAAAGTCTATCTATTCTCATGACGAAGCAGAGTATACGTATCGACTGACCACTCCGGAAGCCATGTGGTTGGAATTTCAACCCGATTATGAGTACGAGCTGGCCGTTTCAGGAGGCGACTTCCTACTTTGAAATCAGATATCACGATAGACAACGAACGTAATGAGTTTTGACCAACGTAAATACGCCACCATCGCTTATTCGTTCATACTCTTGTAGCCTTCTGGTCATGTGCTTGATGAGTTCTATACGCTACACAAGGATTATATTCCCTCAACGCAGAAGCGGGTCTTCATTTGAGTCAAAGAGCCGGTCCAAAATGGCACCGTTCTTAGATACTTTCAGTTAGCACAGCCTCTGCACCGCTGGCGTCTGGTCGTAGGCTTGCTGGCTGCGTGACGGCGCCCTAGATTCCTTGTAGAACGATATTGTTACTGATAGTGAATGCAAGAAACTTCCATGTTTCTTTGAGACTGAAATGAAATTCACCTTATCAGTCTGTCTCCAATGTTGATTCCCAAGTGTATATAAAGCACCTCCATCAACCCAGCTACGATCTCAGGAGAATGAGAAGGAGCAAGCTTCACTTGGCATCATAAGCCACCTGTATTGACCAACCGCATTTTGGACCTTATACCGCTTGATTAGACACCCCAATAGCCATAATGCAGCTCAACTCTCTGACTCTCGCCTTGGCCGCTGGGCTTGCCGTCAACGTCCAGGGCGCCGCTATCCTCCCTCCTCGCAACGAGACCGAGCCCGTCCTTATGTACAGCCGGATGGTCGAAGCTGGAACTCTGGATTACTGGGGCTCTGCTTCTGAGCTGTCCAACACGTTCGACTGGGATACCGCCTGGATGAACCAAGCATCCTGGCCTCCGGTCGCTTCGCCGGCGGGATCTGAAGCCAACGCCCAATGTGGCAGTAACAACGTCTTTTGTTCCGACACGAACGGAGCCCCTACGGACCTATGCAAGAGATTGGTTAATACCCTGCTCAACAACCGCGGCGTCATCGTCCCCAGCAATGTGAATGGTATCTCGCTGACCTCGGATCGCTCCATCTGCTGGATCGGTTGGAGGGATACTATAATCAACATGCCGCAGGTATGTAGTCTCGGACTTGTCCCCCGCTCTCTTTTGTGTGGAACTTTATTAAAACATAATTCATCAAGGGCAATCTCATCGATGCCGCTGCGGCCACTATTGGCAAATGCGGATCTGCTGATGCCGTTTCGGGTTGGGCAGAAAACGTGAATCTCAACAACATTTGCAGCCGCCAGTGTCTTTCCGACCGCTTGGGCTGCTGGTAGACTGCGGTGCCGCTGGACGTTTGACGCTTGAGTGGAAGCAGATGCATCTTCCACAAGATATATGCAGTGGATCCAAAGCGCACAGTTCCAAAGTCTCCATTTGCTGATCTATAAGCCGACTGGCTTACAGAAGAGATTGTAATACACAACGCATGGGTGGCCGTTTCTTATTTTGTTTGGCCGGCAACGTTGACTTAATCGTCGGAGCTCTGAGAGCTCTAACAGAATGAGAGCGAACTCTCGTCGTTTGTGTACTACTTAGATAGGTAGTAAGAAATGGAAACTACAGTCATGGCCAAATATGCCTTCCATTCCCCGGACAAAACCTTTGCTCATTTCCAAGAACAGACCGTAACATTTGCGGCGACTTTGAGTACAGCATACTTCGTGTGGGCTTCCACGGCGAAGTAGGATGCTCAATACGGTGATCATCATCTTCCGGCTGTAAACTGCCACTACTTGGCCTTCAATAGGTTATACAAAACCACCAGCGTTGGGGTCGCGACTCCGAATTTGTGCGCGGTACGAATAGGACTGCCGAGAATGACCTCAATCTTCATTGGCCATCCTCTCATCGCATCCACCGATGCCAGATGATGTGTTCTTGAATGTTGCACTTCGCTCCTCCAAGATTATACATGTCTGCGAATTTGACACATGAGTCTCGCGACTTTCTGTGGCTCTCAAACGGGAAGGGTGAGATCTGGAGGATGTCCGGGTCATTGTGGAGAAGCTCGCGGCCGTTGAGCTCACATCCGATCATGGGGACGCCTGACAGCAGTGTGGATTTTGGAAAGGCGTCAACGAAAGGTTGTTAGATGTCGATGCCGTTCTGGACCAAGACGATAGAGGTGCGATCCAGAGTTACTGCGGGAGCGATAATATCCAGGATCGAGTAGATGTCAGGCAGGTTCCTGAGGGCAACGACAACATACTCAAAGGGGCCGTGTTGGAGAGCATCGCGGACAGTACGCTCAACTGTCAGATGGTGTCAGCTTTAGAAACCTTATGTTTTACAAATCACGTACTATTATGAGGTCTCCAAGAGTCGATCTCCCCATGGGCGACACTTTGCATTCGGAACCCTTGGCCTTATACCAAGTCATAGTTCGACCGCAGGATGGCCGTGACGGTTGCCTGCCCCGACTTCTGCAGCGCAAAAGCGCACACGGTGCCGACCGGACCGCAGCCCACAACCAGTATCTTTACTTGCTCCATAACAAATACGAAACCATTGTCAAATTGATTGATGTCCTATTAGTGGATTCGATTGATTGCTCAAATAAAGGAGAGAAACACTGCGTACATATCCCCGGTAATTCAGTGTGCCGCAGGCCTTTGCAGGCGGCCTGTTCTATCTTTCTTCATAGTGTCTTATCTGACGCGGCAAGAGACTGCGAGAGACTAAATTAACTAGCAATATTACTTTCTTCCCACAAGGCGTCCTGCAGAACTCTTGAACTTTTGCCACGAACTCACGCTAGGCACCTCGAGGTCCTCCTCCGCCTCCAACTCGGCCAACCCACTCTGCAGGTCGACGTCTTCGGACTTAATGGCCCAAGTATCTCTGCGGTACAGGAAGCGGTGCACAAAGTAGATGACCATGAAAAGTGGAAGGCCAATGTACGCCGAAAGAAAGTCTGCCACTGACCATCTCGACGGGAAGAACACCGTGAATCCGTTCAGCAGACAGAGAATGGCGAATACAACCAATGAGATCCACGCACCAACCGGCTGCAGCCACGAGCGAGCGGTGAGCATTTCCTTCGACACTTGTTGGGTCTCACAGGCCTTCCGGAATCGCAAATAAATGATCCCGCAGCACACCCAAGAGATGAAACCACCTGTGTTAACAAGATTCAGAAGCCAGTTGAAGACGTCTGCCGCCGACGAGTTGACGTTCATGTATGCCAAGAGCGAGAACAGAGAGCTGGCAATGACAGCGTAGATCGGGACTCCCTGCTTCGTGCACCGTCTGAAGACGGCCGGGGCGCTTCCTTCGCAGGCCATCGAGTAGAGGGATCTGCTGGCCAGATACAAGAATGAGTTTCCTGCGGACCAGGCCGCGGTAACGATAACGGCGTTGATAACACTGTCCAGACCTTTGATGCTGGCATTCTTGATACCGACGACCCAAGGTGATGATGCAGCACCGGAACCACCGTTCGTAAGAGCTGAGGCATCGGAAGGGCAGATGACAGAAATGGCAATTGTACCGCCGATGTAAAACACGACGAGACGCCAAAAGAAGTTGCGGGCGATTTTGGGCAGGTTGCGGCGGGGTGACTGGACTTCCCCGGCCGTAACGACGATCATCTCCGGAGAGAAAGTGAAGGGGAGGACGCTACTGAGAAGTGTGGATAACGCAGCCACAAACCTGCCCGCATCACCGTCGACAATCATAGTCTTGGTGGCGCCGGGGTGTTGCCAGTAGCGGAAGCCCAGTCGGTCATGGCTGGGCCCACCGCCCCAGAAAAGGATGAACGACAGGATCAGGAGGCCGACGATCGTGATGACTTTCAAGCTGGCGAACCAGAACTCGGTTTCACCGTAGAACTTGACAGGCAGCAGATTGAGACCGACAACCAGCAGAAGCATGATAGTGATCCAGACCGCATTGTTGACGTTCGGGTTCCAGTACTCGATAACGAGTGCAGACGCTGTAAGCTCGAAGGGAACGAAGATGGCAAAGGAGTAGAAGTACAGCCATCCCATCATGAAACCCAAGCTTCGAGAGACGTAGCGACTTCCATAGTAGTTCATCGTGCCACCTGGGAGAGGCAGGTATGTTGAGATCTCGACGACGGCGGTAAGGACCATGTAGATCAGGGCGGACATGACGACGTAGCTTCCGACTAGAAATGCCGGACCGCCTCGGGCCAAGGTGCCGCCAGAGCTGACGAAGAGACCAGTGCCGATGGATCCTCCGAGCGCGATGAATTGCGCATGTCGTGATGATAGGCCGCGCTTCGTTGTCAACTCTCTATTCTCGGCGACATCGACCGACTCTGGGCGAGTGACCTGTGGATCGACGCTGTGTTTTGCGTCGCTGTCACTTTCGATTTTCGGCTCCCTTTCAACCGACATCTTGGCGACCGGGGCTAGAGGGGAAAGAGACCAGTGTAGAATGGTATCAAAAAAAAAACCCGTATGAGGATATGTTCGCCTACAGAATATATGCATGTTACTCCGAGAATCCACCGCTACGCCGCACTCATTATCTTATATACGTCTTTATGAACCCCTTTAGCGGATTGTACACGACGTCGTTCACGATCACGTATTTGACGTTTCAGAGATAAGAGTTCGTCTTATCTATGCTACGCAATTTTAGCTTTGGATGGTGGCCATATCCTCCCGCGAGATATCGGAGTCGGTTGCTCCAAGCCGTGTGGCCGGAAAGTGGGGTCTCGGAGTCTCTTTCCTTCGGCATGCCGCATGTGATAAGCGCGAACATCGGACGTTGGTCGGAGATGTTCCCCTCGCTCAGTATGTGATGCCTGCAGTGGTTTGGTGGTATTTAAAATTCAGCCGGGTGTGGTTGCCTTTCACATCGTTCTCGCAAACATCAGCTTAATCATCTTGGTTTCACATCGTATGAAAATGAGATTCACGAACGCCCTTGTCTTGGCCGGGGCTGCGCAGACAGCGGCGCTGAACGTTGGCCCAGACTACCAGTACCCAATTGAAGGTAATCCAACCCCGCTTTAGCGGATGGAGATCCGGATTGACTGATCATCATCAGATTTGGACAAAGACCTCCCTTTCTCACAGCCTGTTACGTTTGCTCATTTGGAATGGCAGAGATGTCTAGCTGAGTCTCATAACAAGGTAGGTGTACCATACTCAATTCATCAGTCAGATACACCATCTAATCAACACTTTCAGCCTCTTGATGTTGCGATATTGGGTTTTCCTTACGATACTTCGACGTCATACCGTCCAGGAGCTCGTTTTGGACCCAGAGGGATTCGCGCAGGATCATCTAGAGAGAAGAAGGGTCGCAGCTACAACACCGTTTGGGGTGTCGACCCATACGAAGAGGGCCTGGAGATCATTGACTGTGGTGATGTGCCCATCACCCCATTCGATGCGCAACATGCCTTCAAGCAGATGGAGCAAGCTTATCGTCAGATTCTCTATCACCCCACATCGGACAACAGTACGCCGCCGATATCGCATCAGCAAGCTCTGTGGAGTTCTCGCTGACATATCATCAGATCAATGGGAGCACCCAAGAATCATCAGTCTCGGCGGCGATCACTCCATCGTACTGCCCATTCTTCGTAGCCTGAAGACTGTGTACGGCCCAGTTTCTGTCATCCACCTTGACTCTCATCTTGATACGTAAGTTAATGTCAATTCGCGGAGTAAAATGTTATGCTAATTGGATCTTAGTTGGGACCCTTACGAGGGATACACTGGTATTGTGTCTAACCAATCCGCAATCACTCACGGTACCTTCTTCTGGCACGCCAGTCGCGAGGGTTGTGTGAGAAAGGGCACTAGCGTTCATGGTGGCTTGAGGACTAAGCTCTTTGTAGGCGTCTTGCTTCTATCATGTGTACTGAATTCAACTGACAGATTTCAGGGACCGAAAGATTATGAGATCGACAGAGACGTCGTCGGCTTCACCATCATTGAAGCCCACGAGATCGACGATATTGGAATGAATGGCATCATCGAGAAGGTTAAGAAGGCTGTTGGTGACACGCCTGTGTATCTGTCCATCGACATTGACGGTAACCTACCATCTACTTCTCAAGTACAGAGCAAAATACTAATCGAATCCGATGAATGCAGTCCTGGATCCTAGTATTGCTCCCGCAACGGGCACACCAGAGTCGGGTGGCTGGACTACCCGTGAGCTGAAGAGGTTCTTGAAGGGGCTCGAAGGCTTGAACATGGTTGGCGCCGACGTCGTGGAAGTCAGCCCACCTTATGATACTGTTGCCGAGACGACCTCAGTCGCTGCGGCAGATCTTATCGTGGATATCTTGGCCGGCATAACCAAGAAGAAGGCCTTCAAGCCATCACCTGAAGTCAAGGATGAGCTTTAAGCAGTTGTTCTATGCGACCAAAGAACTGTCCTGCATGCGTTGGGCCGATAATCAATGGCGCTGATGCTTGTGGCGATGCCGCTGAGATCATCGCAGATCAGGTTACGTTGTATTACAAACAACTATCCTCGCCAACGGGTTCCGTGAGTCTCGGTGTTTAAAATACGGCTGTGAGGTTTTTTAAAGTAATACACGCGCAATGTACTTCCGGAGCAATGCTGTCTCACATACGGCGCATTTATCCGATCGATCGTATGGGCACTTGAGCTGAAGCTTACGCCCAGTGTGACAAGTCAGAAAGCCAGGAATTGCACAGTCATCAACCGCGCGGGATGAACACAATTTCTACCTGCGTTTCGACGTTGATCACTTATGATCAAAATCGGAAGCAGTATGTGTATCTGCATGCAGAAGAACGACGGCTCAGCTACGGCCCGGCCCGCCGCGTTGCCCCGGCGCAAATGTTCTTGAGCCGCGCGGGAGTGCCCCTACCACCCCACTTCGGCGCCGCAGAGACTCCATAGCCGGTAATAATTCCGAATTGGATCGGGGACGTGACTGGATCTACCGCGCGGCATACCCCGCTCGTGGCTGCTCACGGCAGATCACTCAGTGGCCAACAATTCCTGCCGTGCTATCGTCTCTGGTCACTTATGAATGGTCAGGATGACTCTGTTGGAAGTAACGAACATGGCATGACTACCGCGCGCTCATCGATCAGGCTCGGACATCCATGACGTGTGGTAGTCTTCATAGCTTCCTATTATCAACTATTTAAGACGACGATTTTTATCCCTCAACTCTGTGCATTTTCTCCGCATAGCAAACTTGTACTGTCTTTTTCAATAGAGCCCTTCGCATTTGCACCAGCATGTCCATCGTTGCGGTTATCGGGGCCACCGGAGCTCAAGGAGGCTCGGTTGTCGACCAGCTCCTCCAAGATCCAAAGTGGAAGGTCCGAGGCATAACAAGAAATGCGAATAGTGCAAAAGCCAAAAACCTGGCAGAGAAGGTACGTCTGAACGTATTCCAAGGCGAATCTTGCGTCTGATCGTGTCTTTCAGGGGGTCGAGGTCGTAACCGCCGACGTCAACGATGAGTCCAGCCTGGTCAAAGCCTTCGAAGGAGCAGCAGCAGCTTTCGTTGTGACGACTTACTGGGAGTCCATCCCAGCGTTGGGGCGTGATGGCGCAGGGCAGGAGGAGCTCGACCAGCTGAAGAACCTCGCCAGGGCTGCGTCACAGTCCACCACTCTCAACCACTACGTCATTAGCAGCTTGCCTCCCGCAGCCAAAGCCTCCAACGGGAGGCTGAAGGTTCCTCACCTTGACTACAAGCAACAGGCCATAGACTGGATGATCGAGAACACTCCTGAGTTGTGGTCGAAGACAACAGAGTTCTGGCTGGGTTGGTACACCTCGAACCTGGCTTTCTTACCAACGATGAGATTCACTCCAATTGTACGTCAAGATAACCATGGTTATTCTACATGTAGTACATCATTGACCAGATTACCCTTCAAAGCCAATGTCCGCAGGGTATGCGTTCATCGTTCCGTCGTCCCCGTCCGGCATACTCCCCATCTCTGGCGACGCCCAGACCAACTCCGGCATTGTCGTTCGCGGAATCCTGAACTCTGGTGCCAAAGCCTACGGGAAGGTTGCAATTTGTGTCACGGATTACAAACCCATGGCCCAGTTGGTAGACGTATTCGAGAAGGTTACTGGCAAGCTAGCCGTGTACTTTGAGATATCCGACAGCGATATGGCCAAAATCTGGGGAGATTTTGGTGCGGAGCTAGCGGCTCAGTTGAGGTTCAGCGAGGAGTTTCCTGATTGGAGTTCGCTTGCATCTGGGAGAATCATTTCACTGGACGAGCTTGGTGTTGAGGGCAAGTTGGTAAACTTTGAGCAGGCGCTGACGGCGTTGAAGGATCAGATCGTTTGAAGCTTCGGAACGCTAGCAATGTTGTTTTCTAGTAACGACTAATTCCTTGGTCTCTTTTCCAGTCCTTACAGATACCGAGATATCCATTAAACAAACTAAAGTGCTCGACTCAAAGGTTCCATATTCTTGACACTGACTTCATAATGGTCAATCCTGAATGGGTGATTCGTAGCTTTCCATCATATTCGATACTATTGGTTTAGTCTGTGTGTAAGTCTTGTACACGCCTACGAGCCTTTGATTTAGGAAACCCCAATACTGAGTCAGGCCTTGAGCCACGAAACTGAGGCGCTCTTCAAGAATTTCGTCAGTTAGAAGTAGTTAGAAACTAATATGTATGGATTATCACCCGAAGTCCAGCACAGACTTGCAACACCACGTGCAAATTCTGAATCCATGAGCTGAGATCATTTAAATACGTTGATTTAGGGCATTTTTCAAGCATCTTTAATCGTCAATCAAGACAAAGACCAACGACGCGGCGTGCCTACTAAGCGTAACATTGTCATTAGTCTACCCTCACTCTAGCTCACCTGACGCTGGGAGGGGCGGCTTGCTTCTTCGACCATCGCACACGTCGTCCATCACTATTCGTGGCTGGAACACAACGTCAACGTCACCAGATAGCCGGGGCCCAGAGAGGCAACTCTTTCGGCAGCACAGACAACTCATCCCAAACTTCTCCCCCCAGTAATGCAGCGACGCCCGCATGCCAGCAGCCTTCCAACGAGACAAGGCGCAGGTTTACGCGCTGGCCAGTGCCAACCACGACGTTTGCCATTGCGCCCGCTCGCCCACCTCATCAGCAGAGCATCCGTTACACAGAACCGTCTCTCAAATACGAGGGACGCAGTCTCTCGACCCGGCGTGTTGGGTCAGGAACTCCCACTGTGAAAGATACCTCGAACGGTTCTCGCGCTCAGTGGGTGATATCTATCGTCACACCCGGTACTCACTGCGTCGAGCTAATTCGTCGCGGTGCCACTTTTGAAAGGTCTTGGCCGTCACCAACGACAGGTCGCGAGATGATGTCGGAGGGGGTTGTATGGTGCTGCGCCGTTGGGATGCCTTGGTGTGTGGATCTTTTCTCTTCTCTTTTGGAGGTGGTTGCGTGTTTGCTAATCGTGCTATGCACCCCAGCCGGTGGGGGCGCAAACTAGACGAACGTGATGGTCGCTGATATCTGAGGGACTCGGCAGCTCTGCGCGGTGACATCGACGTGACGGCTCATGAGATGCTATGTTTGGGATGGAGTAGTCCGTCTTGAATGGCAGCATTACTTGGTTTCAACTCCTTGTTTACCAGCATCGCTACCAGAACTCGGGAATCGTTGAATGACGGTGAGGCAGCTTGACAACTCACGGGTGATATCTTTTACGGCCGAAACATGAAAGCCAAGGCTGCGTAAGTCCATTGTGGCCTCGGGAATAATCAGCCTGGCGGTGTTTCCTACCGACATGGAGGGATGTGCATCCGTTCGGGATCTCGGCGTCAGTCTAGAAAGGTTCCAACAGGCTGGGGAAGGGCCATTGGCTGCCGGAGTATTGGAGAGATATGCACGAGGCTCGGAGGATATTTCGTAGCTGGCCTTCTTGAGATATGACCACGATCGATACACATAGCCTGAATTGATATCTTCTCTTGTTCGTTCGCCCGTCATCAATGATCAGGTTGTTGTTCTGCTGGCATTCAAGCCACGACACCCCGCAATGTAATGTTGATCATAACCTGGTACCCAAGGTATGCCGCATAACATGCTGGACAAGAGCTTTTGCGAACCCAAATTTAAGCCCTGAATCAGCCTCCGGCAACGAAAATAGCCTGCCGGAGAAATGCTAATGAGCCGGTTCGTGTTGCCTCTTCATGCTACACAGCATGAATCCAGAGGCCCGGAAAATGGCACATCTCAATAGGTCGGTCAACCACGATATCACCTAGATTGCTCTTCTTAACCCCTTGACATATCACACAGAGTCGGATCAATAGTGGACGATTCGCAAGGATTCGATGTGATGAGGTGGATATTTGAAGGATTGTAATTCGCTTGTTGGACCCTTTCGGTGAAGTTCGCCTGGTTTGCACCAGAGACTTTGATAATGGAACATGGGTTTTGGCGATGGGGCCCATCGGAGGCGGGCACGAGGGCCGAACCTTCAGATCGACAGATTGGCTTTTCTGACCGCGAAACTGCCCAGCCAAGTTTCTCTTTTCTCCCCTCCGCCCGGAGCCTCGCGGAGATGTCTCCTCGTTGAGCAGGTGCTGCCGCCAAGGCTGGTTGCTACTCGGGTTCCCTCGATTGGCAATTCCAGCCGTTGCCGTTCGGTTCCAGACAACGTGGGCGTGAAGAGCCGTTCTTCAGAGGTGTTTGGTGCGACGAAGGTGCAGACTGTGCAAACCTGACAAACATGTGTGCACGTGGGCAGGCTTTTGTCATGTTCCACGACGTGTTATCATAAAACGCATCGAATCATAATCGAGCTGATGCGCCATAACGCGGAATGTCCCAGACTTCTGGGACCGTTCTCTGCACCTGTGTGCGTGAATGCGGATGCACAATGTAATGACATAAAATCACGCCAGATATCCTGGGGACAAGCAAGCACGCATTGCCTTCTGAATGAAGCGGCCAATCCAACATCACCAATACCGCCAATGATGCAACTTGCAGCATAGAGGTGCATCATGTACCGATACATGCTCGGCGTTAGCCCCTGTTCGCCTCAATAAGAGGACCATTCCAACTGCGCCTCCAACACTGGTTGGAAGCTCAATTGAGGGAGACGCAGTAGTGATGCCGCCTGTCACATGGGCTTCACGCCATGCACCCCAGCGCAGAGGATCTTGGGAATGACTCCGACGCACCGATCGTTGATGCCCCTGGAGATTTGGTGTTCCCTCTCCCCAATAATTCGAAACCTCGGTCAAGAAGTGGATACCAACGCCGGTCGCTTTTGGTCGGTCGGTGAGGAACCCTCGCAGGTAAACAGACGAATCACTGGACACGTGCTGAACGACTACGACTTTTTCGGCCCGGCTCAGTGTATTGGCGTGCAAATTCAATCAGACGTTCTGCCTGACGGCGAAGATGGGATAAGACAGCGTTCCATTTCCTGATGAATGGATGTGTTGCGTTGCGGGGTCCGACGCGCCATTCGAACAAAGCCAAAATTCTGCTTGTGAACAGAGTTGGTGCCATTGAACTTCCACGTACTTGCAATAAAGTCAGATTCGCATGTCATGTCATCCAGGTGAGGCTTACGTTGACATCAGCGGCAGTCATATCAAACGCGCAAACAACAATGCCGTTTTTTTCACGGTCTCCCGCCGGTAGGACCTCGTGGCAACGGTGATATTGAACGAAGGCCATGCCCCGAATCCCATCAGCGCCCACCGGCGACGCACTGTGGATAACGTGGCAAGCGAAAACGAAATGATGATGCTCCCAGCGGTCGAGCAAACGTGGATTTGGGCTTGCAGACCGGCCGGCAACCCCGTCTGGCTCAATCTCGAACATTGGCGCATGGACAATGCGAAGGAAACCATTGTGTCGAAGGTCCAGAAGGGGCCCCTTTGTTTTCATGTCCTCGGGGGTGGTTTGAAGGAGGTCGATGGTGTCAAGTCTATTGCTGGATATGCCACGCAATGACCGCCAGACTGCCCAAACTCTGGAGAGCCCTGTCGATGGCTCGTCACATGAGTGATGGCATCTGCGAGACTTGTGCGGCGTGGCAGGTTTTCGTTGCATTCGGAGCGGCGAGAGCAGAATCCCCCTGTAGAGGGCAGCAGGATCAGCATATTGGGCAGGGACTGGGCGGGGCTCGTTGGGGGTTTGAGTCGCATCACCGTGTTTGTTGACCCTCCTGACAGCTGCAAGACATCGATTTAAGGCATACAAGGTGCCTATTCCGTGTTAACAGCCAGGGGCTGAGGAGGTCATGGCGGTATGGCGATGAAGGCATTTGTCAAAAGGGCCCCCGTAGCGGCCAGAGCCACGTCTGCCGTCTGCAAGGAACAATGCGCTTGGGCGTCAACTTGTTCGAAATGAGGTGGCAACGGAGCGGCATTCGTCCCTGTAGAGAATTTCGAGTCGCAGTGGGTGGGTTTTGCGTGCAATCCACCAGCCCCTGTGTTGATGAGGACTTGAGAGGAGCATTTTCGGTGCCGGGCCGTCGTCGTGTTCTGCAGAATAGAGTTTGACACATTGCTATTCATGGGTTGCGTGCGTGTCCATTGAGCCCCTCAGTGCCGAAATGCGAATCTCAGTAGGGATAGAGACCGTGTTGCAGAGATGAGGAGGAGCGTTGAGAGATTACTGCGAGGTGGCTGACGGAGATGCAAGAGTGATGCGCGAGAATTGCTGCGAGCGGCCATGGTTGCTTGCTTCTTCGTAGTTGCATACGTCTCTTTCCTACATAGACCGGACACGCCTCAGTCTAAATGGAGCAGGAATTACCGCTAAATCAGGATACGCTGTTCCTGCCCCTCGAGAAGCTGACCGCCATCAAAGGAAAGAGCGCGGAATCTCTGAGGCCCTCCCAGTTTCCCTCCCACATTCATCCTCGACTTCCCAGGCCGCGTCACGCCTCACCGCCCATTGCGTCTTCAAAGAACAATGCCGTTGATCAGCATGCGACTATGCTCCCTTGATGACTCAGGTCTCGCATCAAGCATCGTCAATGGTCCACGTACCGCGAGCTGAAATCTTTTCGAACCGCCCGGGCTGAAAACAATTGCCCCCCTCACAAGCCCCTGGGGACGAGACAACAACAATTAGACTCCCCTGTCACCGCCAACGGTCGTTGATCTTCAGGCCTTGTCAGCTGTACCACGACCACCGTGCGCCTGTAAGACGTTTAAATCCTTCCGGACGCGAATCCCTGCCATCCCTGTCGAGGGGGCCGAAGACTCGACCTTGGACACCGCCGGTGGTCCTTGATGGAAAGAGCGTTGCCAGTGGGAGAAGCTGGCGTCCGTCAGACGGCAACTGGGTCGCTCGGCCG